TAATATGGGGTATTTGGGGGTGACTAGGGGGTCAATTAGATGTAGTGGAGTAGGGAGGGGGGTTAAAAAAAAACTGTGATTCGGCCATGACAGTGCCGCTTTAAGTGCAATTGTTTTTAAGAATATTGTAAGGGCACCCTTCTCCTACCGAGTTAGGAACGCACAGTGGTGCGTGACCATTTGTGTCACTATGCCCCACTGATGTTCCTTTGATATGGTATGCACTGATAATAAAACAGCATTGATCTTCAGCAAGTTTTACATGAATCCTTGATGCTTATATTAATTGTACAACACAGGCTGCTATCCTTGGCACTTCAGGTATTTCTGAACTGAACTTTGCATGATGCAGTCAGCCTTAAAGCCATCACCATGATGTAACACCGGAATAAAGAACATCTGAATTGCTGTGAACTAGCTTTCCTGTTCAGCAATGTGTGGAGTTGGACAACATATTCCAATTAAATATGTTTGACTTCCCTGATTAGATACACCTATTAAAGTGTAATTTTAACCGGTTAATGACGGTTAACCATTGTTGTGCTTAATATTCTTTTAGAAACACAAACAGCTGCTGTGGTCGAGCAGGGCAGTGCCAAACTGGGGTAGTACAAAACCAGAAATAACGAGAACACTATAACCTTGGTAGCCCTTCCTGTAGGTTTTGTTCTGTTCTCTCAGTAAAGGAAACTGTACTTAACATTAGAGAGACTGCTTGCACGCAAGTAACACAAAGCCAATCTGAAACCCAGGACAATCAGACATTTTACAAAACACACACAAACAATGTGTATTAGATTCTTTTCATATTAGTAGGCATTTTCACCAAATATTTATTTTTATTTTGAAAGTATCTGATGATTTTCTCATAGTACTGGGTATATACTTGCTATGAACAAGTGAAAGCCAGTGGAAGACAATAACAGCCAGCGACAGTGCTCTGAGATTGACGAACGAAGTAGTCAGAGGGACGAAAGTGGTCAAGTAGACATTTTATTGCTTGATATCTTCTTGTATTATCACAGTCCTGGGAGTGTGGGAGATGTTGCAAAACAACAGAAATGGAGGATAGTGAGAGTTATACCATATATTTTCAGCAACCTGTGTACTAATAACACAGTATTGTACCTTTTGCTGTATGGAAGATATACTTCAGCTGACCCTGTGCGACAATGGACACAAAGGACTAAAATATAAAGTAAAAAGTGATTTCCCTAGATGCTTGTGCTGTGAGATTACCCACCTGATCCAGTTGGTATCCAACTCTGCCATTGTCATGGCTACTATTAATGTAGATTAAGATAGGTCTGCATAATATAATTTTATTTTACAACCGAATATGTTCCTCTAGCACAGTGGTTCTCAAACCAGTCCTCAAGACCCACCAATAGTCCAGGTTTTGTTAGTATCCCCATTGGAATAAAACAGGGAAATACATAAATCCTGGTCTGTTGGTGGGCCACGAGGTCTGGTTTGAGAACCACTGCTCCAGCACATGGGTAGGCAAAATGTATATTTACTGATGTTGCAGAACATGTCCTACGTTGCCATACCTGATATATGGAACTTTCTATGACTTCTGTGTATCTACTTCCTGGCCACCATTGCTTGCTGCTGTAGCATGTTGGATTAGTTACCTTTCCAATATTCTCACAAGTCAAGCAGTATTCCGAGATTATGACTACTATTATACACTTCTCAAAAAAATAAAGGGAACACTTAAACAACACAATGTAACTCCAAGTCAATCACACTTCTGTGAAATCAAACTGTCCACTTAGGAGGCAACACTGAGTGACAATCAATTTCACATGCTATTGTGCAAATGGGATAGACAACAGGTGGAAATTATAGGCAATTAGCAAAACACCTCCAATAAAGGAGTAATTCTGCAGGTGGTGACCACAGACCACCTCTCAGTTCTTATGCTTCCTGGCTGATGTTTTGGTCACTTTTGAATGCTGGCAGTGCTTTCACTCTAGTGGTAGCATGAGACGGAGTCTACAACCCACACAAGTGGCTCAGGTAGTGCAGCTCATCCAGGATGGCACATCAATGCGAGCTGGAGCAAGAAGGTTTGCTGTGTCTGTCAGCGTAGTGTCCAGAGCCTTCCATTTTGTCTTGGGCTATGGAGATTCCAAGAACAGAGTTGTTGTCTCCTTGATACTAGTAGGGGCGATGTTGCCCTTCTCTGTCAGGAAGTCATTTAAGTAATGAATAACTACTAGACATCTATATGAATAAAGCTCTATCACTGGGTTTCATAAAGATACTGACCAATTAGAAAACAGAGGCACAACAACTGGGTCTATCATAAACCAGTTTATCTCTTTTGCAAACAGTGTGTCTACCATTAGAGGGTCCCTGACACCAGATTTAGCATATTCCAATATCCCGGTTAAGAGTGACAGGATCCCTGTGTGGAACCCTTGTGAAAACACAGAAATTAAGAAGTCTACCACATGAGGTGGTGGGTAACCAGATAAAGGTTCAACTAACGATTACCAAAGTTAGGTATTGCGAAGAGCCGCAGACTGGCAAAACACGCGTCGGGGCTCATCCCACTCTTTTGACCCTACTAACCTATCTTGATACACTGAGTACCTTCTCGAGTTTTCAGTACCTCATTCGACAATTGGATTTAGGTCATTAGGGTCACTTACCAGACCTTTGGTTCTTTCTTTGAGGCAGGTAGTTAGACCGCAATTGGTTAATAGATAGGTGCCCTCAAAGGCACAGACAGACTTACCTCATCTCTAGAACTTCCCTGTTCTCCGTTTGAGGCAGCCAGTTAGACATTTTACTTCAGATAGGTGCCCTCAAAGGCACAAACAGTCTTACCTCCTCTCAAGAACCTCCTGATAGCTGATACGGGTGTCAGCCGGCATCTTATCCGCTGAGTTTACCAGGCAGTGAGTTATTTAGTCTTATGTGTCTATATAGGTGCCCTTCAAGGCAGACACATTTTCTCTTATTTATAACTCTGTTACCACCAGATTACTAGGCAGTGACTTCGTTAATACTATATCACTATACCTGTTTGTTTAGGATATCTACTGTCTATACTTACCTGATCCTGCCGCCATAATAATTTTATGGCTTTTATATCTGGGTAAATAATTTTGTTTATGCTTGCATTTCATACCAAGCCAATTATACACTTTGTTGAGAAGTATCACCACACTGGCATTATCGGGCACCTGTAGTTTTGCAACACTGTCATGTGGTAGACAAAAGATTCCTATGAGATACTATTTATTGTCTATATTAGATTACCTTTATCAACGGTTAGGCTACAGAGTTTCTCTCTACTACATCTGTATATTTAGCACTATTAGAAGTCGATTAGAGTACTCCTACTCCTGAGCTAATCTTTACCCAGTGTATGTCCGTCTTCATGGTTTTCCTCGCCCCTATTCTTTTTAGACCTAGGTTCACTTTATTTTCACGTATGTGCTTTATTTACTTTTTAATATATTAATAATAAATATTTCATTTTAAACCTCTATCTAGGGACAGACCTCTCCTTCTGTATCCAGTTATTTAACTAAGGGTTACCCCTCACATGTCCTTAATCATATCTGGATGATTATTTGGCTTCATCTTTATTAGTATACATGTAATCTACAGGCACCAAAACTGCAGCTGCCTTCTTTGAAATTGTTAGAAACCCAGGCTTTCCTTAGAATACAACTGGCTAGCTTAATTTAAATTCCTACTTTGACCATTGGTGTAGTTCAGGATTAGGCAACCTACAGGACTCCAGATGTTGTGGACTACATCTTGTTCTTACATTCAGAATTCTGGTAAATAATCAGAGCATATATAGTCCATATTTGGAATGTCAAAGGTTACCTATTCCTGTCTTTAAATGATGAAGCTTGGCTTCTGGTTGGGTGACTGGTCTCATTTGGGTGATGTGAGAGGTAGATGCACATATTGCATAAGCTGGAACCTTGAGTCCAGCAAGGAGCCTACAATCTGTCTTAAGTAGTGCAGAGCTGCATAACCCTCTGTTTTTCTGCCCAACGTCTAGCATACACAACTCTAGCTCTTCTCTGCATCAGGTGAAATTTGAAGAAATTATCTAGCTGTAGAGACCAACAGTCCGAATTAATTCAGCAAGATTTTGTGGGTTTTTTTTTTAACCCCTTAACGACCAAACTTCTGGAATAAAAGGGAATCATGACATGTCACGTGTCCTTAAGGGGGTTAAATGCATATGTATAAGATTTATTCCCAATAACATCCTGCAAAGCGATTAGAAGCAAATCTAACCTCGTTCCTTTGAGAACATCCTTCCTAATTGTAGGAGGATCTAGGTGGGCATGGGTAATCATGTGAACAGAAGACATGTTAATATCCCTATGGCAGACTTGGGGAAGGTAGTAATGCAGGGACGTTACAAAGCATGGGCAGCGTGAGACAAATTAGCAGCTTATCTAGTCTGTTATTAATTGCACTGCCTCAAGAAACTATTAAGTACATTATAGCAGGCATCCCTAACAGGCTGTTTGAGCTGCTCCCTTCCTCGATGGTACCAGTTCTAGGGATTTCTGGCTGTGACTTCATTGGTCTGAAAAGCTACTCCGAGAAAATATTTCACAACCTTGTACACAATATTGCAACAGGTACTCTAAGTCTTTCCTTCTTCAAACAGGTCTATAAAGGATGAACACAGACAAAACCCAAGATACATTTAAATTATGTAAATTTTAGTTCCTGTAAACCAATCTAGAAACAAAACTGCTGTTTTACTATGCATTTATGGTTTCGCTTTTGATCCTTTCTTTTAAATAAATTGTTCTGAAAGTTTTTTTACGTCAAGTTTGTTTGGGGGTTTGTTTATATACTATATTTCCTATAGTTTGTTATATACTATAAATCATTAGGACTAGTTGATCCTTTACCAAAATATATGTAAACAAAAAAGGAGGAAAAAATAAATAAAAATCAGAACTTTCAAGTATTACAATGAACCACATCTTTGCTACACAATGTTCACGTATAACTTTTATTAAAATTTGTGATTTTGGTCAGTCATGGAAGCTCACTGATGCCACTTGCTTAACTGCTCATTCTAACAAGCTGCAAATACAGACATTGTTCGTACTGCTGTCTTGATTACTTCATGTTCTACAAGATATTCTAGTGAACAATCAATACTTAACTCTACAGCTCTACACTGTACATTTATGAACAATGAGCATCACTCGTGGGAGACTGTAAAAGCAGAATACAAATTAATTTACAACAGCAGGTTTAGTATTAGCAGGTCATGTAAACCACCACGTGTACTATACAGTTATCTTTCATTCAACACACATTCATACGTCTTTAATGCGTAGATCTTTTTTGCTGTGAAATAAATTAACAGTCTTTAGGAGCAGCTGTCCATTTTTACATTTCCAAATCCATAGGTCGGAATATCCAGTAATGCACACAGCTTTCAAGACCAACTACCCTAAACATTATCTTCTGTGAAGAATTTAAAAGCAGCTACAGCGGATTTGTACATGGAGATGGAATGGCAGAAGATACACACCCTGTAGATCGCAGATGGTTTGCCTCTTTATGGTACACACTCAGCGGCTCTGGAAATGAACATCCCACCATGTTTTCTGTTGCAGAAGTGTTTATAATAATAGCATGAGTTACAAGGAACTTCATCATAATCAATGAACCATCTGATACCGAGTGACCTGCATTATGTTTCAAGCACTGAAGGCTACATTTTCAGTACTATCTAGAATCCCTGAAAGTCCTTTTTTCTAATATCTTTGTTGTACAAATTATGACCACAAGTATACAGAATTAATTTTTTTGCCATGAGATACATAATCACAAGTCCAATAAAATGTAAGAACCCTACGTGCCAGAGGTATGCCAAACATTGTTTACAGAGCAAGGTGTTGTGCATAGCTGACATTCAAGGAGTAAAAACAATAAAATCATCTGACATGGGAAAATCGCATCAGATAACATTATTCTGGAGATATTAAATTAAGGAATTACAGGACATAGATGGTTTCTATGGCTGGTTGTCCTGTTCTTGGCGGTTATGTTTTTACAGCACAAAAACAATATAGTACATTTCTATTTAAAGGCTCCAAGCAAAGTAAGGAGAGTTCTACAATCTTGTTGTGTAAAAGCCAAGAGTCACTAATGACCTTTAATGCAACAAACAGATGAAATGTTGCTCGACTTTCCATCCAGCTGTGAAGATGAAATTCCATCTACTAGGGAAAGAACCACAGATGATTTGATGAACGCTCAACACTATAAAATAACTTTAATCTCTAAGAAAAGCAGGAAGTCATCTAATAGTTAGCTATTACATATTTTATTGGTGGAGGATCCTCTTCATCCCTTGGTTCTATTAACTTTGTCAGTTAAGCGACCCTACACTCATCAGAACAACTACAGCTTATTGTACTAGTTCTGATGTCGATAGCCTGTCCCTTCAGGCTTTTTGCTGTAAACACTGTATTTTCAGAGAAAAGGCAGTGTTTACATTACAGCCTAGGAACACCTCTAGTGGCCACTCCTCAGACAGTCACTAGAGGTGCTTCTTGGGTCAGTGCTGCACACTGTGCAATACTGACGTTCATAGAGATGCATTGATTTAATGGGTCTCTACGAGCAGATGATGATTGGCTAGGGCGGTGTTTGGCTAAGATCATCAAAATTAACTATTGCAGCCATCCCAATGCTTTCCTATAGTGATTGGCTGAGATCATCAATTCTGATGTCCGTCAAGGAAGCGGAAAAAAGGTGAGTTTTTACTATAGTAAAATAGTGCTTTTAAACCTATAGAGTCAGGAATACACATTTGTATTCCTGACCCTATAGTGTTCCTTTAACATGCTGCTACATATACACTTTGTAAAACTGTAATGCACTCTAATATATTGGGGCTATAATATCATATGTGGAAGGACAAGATATGACTTAGTATTACATGAAATCCATATTAGATTGTTGGTGATTTTTCCCCCCTATTTATAGTAACCTCGATTGTTGTCAATAAAAACCTCCAAAACAATGTTTGAGCGAATACATATATATGTATATTTATACCATTGTTTATGTTAAGGCAGCCACAGCTTCCATGTAACAAATTCTTGCCATAAGTTGGACGCATTACACCTTTTCCACACCATCCCTTTAACAGGACAGAATCCATTGGTGGTATGACCACTTCCATAAGTAGGTCACTCAACATTAATGTTCTCATGACATCCTAGATATTTTAAATAAAGGGACTATGGAATTTTTACTTTGTTTCACAGCATTTTTGTTTATTTTAACCCTCTCATTTTCAAAACGAAAAGGTACGATCTAACACTGTCCACATTATAATTGTCTACGCTATTCTATCAAGCCTTGAAGACACAGCTGAATTGTTTTATTCAGGATATTTATAGTCACACTGCTATTTTTTAACACAACTTCATCTTAATGCTATTCTTACACCTACATAAGATTTTCAGATCTTCAGCTACACAAGGTTGCCAGTTACATAATATACACAATACAGAAAATACAAGACTAATTGATTTTCACAATATTTAATTTGTACACTAATGTAACTATATGCAACTTCTGAAGACAAGGTATGAGGGTACAAGAAAGGGTTAGAGCACATTAATAGTTTGGTCCAATAGTATCTTATTGTAGTGGTTAATTTTTCCCTTCCATTTAGAGAACTAGGCAACGACAGACATCACATGCACAATCATTCACTGATGGACAACTGCAGAAACAGGTCAATTTCTGTACACCATGTGTCAATCATACATATCTAAAAGGCTATTATAATACATCTATATGCTGCATAAACGCTCAACACAGCCATTCATATTCGAGCACCGTATATACATATGTATATATAAACAGTTTGAAACAGCAGACTCATGGGAACACAATTAAAAAGTGTCATTTGAAGGCTGCACATAAAATAAAAATATATATATTTACAAAGCTTGGAAAAAACAGATGCAACATAATTTATTGCCAATGCCCCTTAAGAAATGGTCATTTTACACATTAAAATGTTAAGATTAACATCATATATCCTCTGTTCATTTACAAAGATCCCTGCTTAAGGATTCAAAGCAAAACCTGTTCTATGGCTTTACCGTGTCTAAGGATATAGTATTAAATAAATAGCAAATAAACAAAGCTGTAAATAAAATGCTAGAATGCCTTGAAGAAACTGGTTTAAAAGTCATTAGAATACTATAGCTGTACAGTCAATGCAGTATTCCAATCAAAGGATTTGGTGGGGAAATTGTACATTGGAAATAGGAAGTTGAAAATGCATGTTATCTGGGAAAACCAGTGTGTAACTACAGAGTTCTTTTCCAAGATAAAGCTCTTTGGTAGTCTTAAAGGGTGTAATTGCTCGGGCCATGTTAATTTCAGAAGCTGTGAACCAGGTCCCAGAGCTGCTACATTTCAACCCATGCTAGATTTGCAAATGTGCATACCTATTATGGAGCACTAAGTATAGAGCACAACAGCATATAGAAAGCTTGCAAAAAAAATAAAAAATACTAAAAATTAAAAGTTATTTAGGGTACTTCTGAAAGTTAGGAAAATCACCAAAAGCTGGAGCACAGCTCATGTCAATCAAATATTCCCTTTTTGGTTAGAGATCTACTACTACTGCTGCCTGCTTTTAACCGCTTACTGACCTCTTATCAAAACTGCTATCCTGGATTAAAGACACCAGATGTCAGCAGAACATATGTATGTTTTTTCATCAGTTTAGTCTCAATGTTTCTTAGACAGAAATGCTTTAGATCTCTATAAATGGCTTTCATATAAAAGGAGCACACAAAGAAGTTCTAGAAAGCTTAGGCAAACATTAATATAACAGTTCTGTCAAAGCAGCTATCATAATGGGGTCAAAAGCTACACAACTTGCCCACTATATTTTTAGTGTTGAAAGATACCCTGCATTTTAGAGAACGCAGGTAAGGAAACCTGCAAAGATACAGAGGTAAAGCATGCCATATTCAATTAGAGCACTGTTCTGCTTACATACAGCTAGAAGTTATAGAAAGAAAATAATGCAAGATCAAAACTGTTTAAATGCATATTCGATCTTCTGTAAATGTGCTCTTTTGTGCAAGTGGAAGTTAATGACAAATTGTTCTATATTCTTGGAAGTTTTTATTAACCAAGTTTACCTCTACCTCATAGACCAAGTAATGGGCGTTGCCATTTTGGGACTATTTCTGCATTTATGAGCCTGTAAATCATGGAGAATTGTTCACAACTTCACTCACAAGCTGGGCCCCACAGAAAGAAAAGCAGAACCAAAAACAAGTGTAAGTCATGGCAATTCACCATCTAAAACAGGATCACACGCACACGAAAAAGTTAGGGAATTTGCATAGATTTGCTTCAACTGCTTCTGAATGTTGACAGTAGATAATATTAGCTTTGCATTTTAATTTGTTGGCCTTACCAATATGTGTCCTTATTTCGGTTTGAATCATTATAGCCCCTTTAATAAGATGGAATCCAGATTTATATTTTCCATAAAGGAAAAAGAAATCCAAGGCTAGATTCTAAAACATGAAAGCAGCAGGAACACTACGATCCTGGGTAATCTGTTGACAATACGTGTGCTGCTTGTCTTTTTGTAGGCCAATGTTTAAAAGGTCTGATTTCAGAACAGAAAGTTAGTCAATGGCAATCTCCTTGGCTATTTTCCATATCCCTAGGTCATAACATATGAATGAGAAATTGCACGAGTATTATACTGAAAAGCCAAATTAAGGATAAGAGGACAGGGCACAGAAAAAAAAATGTGGTCTCTTGTCATTACAGTAGAGTATAGTTTGCTTTAATATCTTGGGCAGCTGTAAACAGGTTCCACTTTTTTAGACAGGTACTGGACAGAAAATAAAATGGAACACTGTATCTCAGTGCGTCTTGCTATGTGCAAGCTGTGGAATTTCTGAAAGGCCCCCCCACCCCCACCTTCCCTCCAAGGGAGTTTTTAAACATAAAAAGATTATTGCTTTGGTTCTTTCTCAGACATACCCAAGTATGTCACAATCACAGACATTAGGATTGGAATTAACATAAGAAAACCAAAAGGAATTCTTAGCTTAAGTGCTGAATAAGAAACTTCAAAGTGCTCCTCACACAGTATGGTCAAGGTTACACTCAACGTGAATACCGATTATTAAAACATAAAATTTACACTATAAAATCAGCAAAAAAACAAACAAAAAAAAAGGCGTCAGCAGCATGCACAAATAGAATGCACTGCTGACCAATCTGGCAACACGCAAAAAAAAAAAGGAATAAATAATAGCTAAGATACAATTACAATACAGCCCACTATAATAACAATTTAAAAAAACAAACAAACAAACAAAAAAAAAAAAACCGTTAAGACAACAAAATGGAATTCAGAAAAAAGTTCACAGCCATAAGCATGAAGAATGCTGTCAAAATGCTCTGTACATTAAGCCAATATTAAATAACATGACAACAACTGGTTTGGCTTGCGGTACATAAAAGTCCCTCCTTAGGATTCCGCTGGATATTCACAGATATCGTTTTTTCGCAAAGAGGTAGCTGTAATACATTATTTTTAAAGTTCTTGTTCTTTAGGAGTTCTAGTTCATTAGTGGTGTCTGACATGTGGTCAGAAAATAATTTTAAGCTGCCTGTGGGTGTAGCTTTACTGGCACCTCCATTCGAGCTTATACACATTTTCCAACTTGATTTCTCCTGCACTTTGACGCTTGAAAATGATAGGTTATTCTGAGAGTCTATTATATACTTTGCTCCATTATGCAGCTGGGTACCCAAGCACAAACTCATTAGTTTTAGACTTTCTACCAGTTCACCTGCACTTCTTGGTGATTGCTGCACAGAGTTTCCAGAACCAGCACAGTTACGGGTATTTCCAGATGTGTTGTTTGAGTTGCCACCAGATGTGTTAGATGGGCTACCACCTCCCTTGTTATCACTGGGACTTGTTTTGTCAACGCCAGTATTTCCATTACTTGGTTTACTTTGACCTCCACCATCACCTTGATTGCCAGGTGGACCTTCACTGCTATCCCGTCTATGCCAGGAATATGTAAATCCACTATCTTTATCCAGACGTCTTCGGCTTTCAGAGTCATCGTCACTAGTTTCTGAACTACTACAACTGGAACCTCGACCTTGACTTTTCCGTCTATGATATCGTTTGTGCACTGTCCCAGGAGATGCTATGTTCATTTTTAACCGACTTAACTTCGGTGGAAGATTCTCGTCCATATCAAACTCATCATCAGACTCCCCTTCCTCAAAGATTTGGTTGAGCACAGGAGCACTCTTCCTAGAAGTGAGGCGATTTGTAACAGAGGGTTTACGTCTTAAGACAACTTGAGTAGACAAAGGGAGTGGTTTCTTTTCTTCTTCGTCTTCCTCTTCATCTTCCTCAACCCTGAAGAGACATTTTCTTCCACTAGCTGTTGGGTTTAGATTAACTGGAGGAAGCCCCGAAACAGCTGGGCCAGCAAAATCAGGAACATCCTCTTTCTTCAATGGATCTACCAAACCTTTATTTCTGTGGCCATTCAGAACATTCTCTGCACTACGAGCAGGAGACGGTGGAACAGCTACATGAGCTATTGGTGAAGCTGTCAAGTCATCATCTAGGCCTTGAGGAACATCAATCTTTGTTGGCCATGATTGCCTAAGAAGCAAAACACATGAATAGTTAGTTCTATTAAATTGGTAAAAGGATCAAAACCGCAGAAAAAGAAAAAAGAAAGAAAGTTCCGAGGAGAACGTTAAGCAACAAATATCACGACAGCTTGCTGTTGCAGTTATTTTACCTAGAGCAATGGCTTCCAACTTTTCTGGACTAAAGCACACTACAATGAGAGAAAAATTTCCAAGGCACAAACTTTCCCCCCCTAACTCGATCAGGATAGTATTAATGTCACATTTACATACTACAGAACAATGATCGCTAACCTTGACACCATAAATTGTTTCTGGACTACATTTCCCATGATGCTCATCTAGAGAGATGCATACCACTTAGGAATGGTATATTAATTGGCTGAGATTGTTGAACAGCCCCAGTTTATGTCACTCATGTTTGATGGAATTGTCACTGAAAAAATACACATTTTCAATGCAGCCAAGACATAGTCCTTGTGCAATGAGAAGAGCCTGGTTTATATAATTCTTAAACTGATTGATATTACAAAACAGTGCTAGGGCACTCCAGGCAGCATAGCCACTACAACGTGCTGATGTTATGTTGCATCAAGAAAATAAGACTTCGTGGTTACAGTTACACAGCGTAACCTACCATACACACAGACATTAATAGTGAGATGACTGGAAACCATGGGATGTGCATATAGGTCAAGGGTAATGTCTAATCAAGGATGACTGGGAACATAACATACCAGAATACCATTTTGGAGGTCACTAAAACATGTTCAAATGTAATATTTGTTATATAACAACATTTGTTGCACTTGAAAGTAAAATAAATATAAATCAAAACAAAAAAAAAAAAAAAAAGCATAGGAAAGCCACTTTAGGAATATGGCATGGCCACAAATTATCCAACTCTGTGTTTATCAAAATTATTTATCTTTTAGTATATAGTTTACAGAAGTAAATACATTCCAAGAACTCTGACAGATTATTCATCTGTTGGTATGTTGAAGATTACATATTTGTCAGTATTTCAGTGTTTACAAAAGCCTAATAAAGCAGCTTATTTCTACAAGCTCCTGTTAATCGTAAATGTTAGTCACATGCATGTGTGCTAAATGAATTAAATGGGGCATGCAATAATATAAAATCATCCAAATAAACCAAACATTGTCATTTCAAAGCATGGGGGAAAGGAACGCAAAAATTATGCCCAACACACCACAAAAATAAGAATGATAAGCAGAAATAAAAATAGACCTTAATGGAGTGGTAGGTCTATACTATAAGAGTAGCTCTGAAAGCCTGACTCATCTCCGCCCTTGCACTTAAACACACATTCTTATTGTATCTATGATAGAAAGTGATGCAAAAGGGACTCAGGAAATTAGTTAAAATTTTTGCTTTTGATAGATATACCCTTTATAATGTGCTAGAACATTTAACTGGAGCTGAGAAAAAAAAAAAAAAAAATTCAGTTAATTTTAGGATGGAAAATATTTATTTTTTTAAAAATTTTTTTAGTTCCTAAGGTGCAAATTAATAAATGTTTAATAAAAGGTTTGCTCTTTCCTGTATAACTTTATGTGAAGAGAAAGAAAGCTTTAAGTAAGCCTCAAATCGTATCTTTTGTACACCCCTGCGGGTAAAAACTGGTGTTTGTGTGCGTGCGTAAACTAAGGACATGCACATGCAAACAACAGGAGGAATCATTGAAAAATTAAAAGGCACCCAAGCCTTTACAAAGAGAGGCCTCTAATATCCTTCTACTGATGATGGATAATCTCCAGCACTCCAACTACCATGGACTAGGTTATTTCAAGCCTCTTGGTCCACAGAAGTTGTAATGTCAAAGATTACTAACCACTTATTTTCCCCCCTCCTTTTCTCACTTGGTAACCACATAAATCAACTAGAAAGAAACAGATAAATTTGTACCTAAATTGGGCCTTTATGTTACTGGGACTGGCCGACCTCGCTTGGATTTCTTTCTCTTGTTTCTCTCGCAGTATTCTCTCAGCCAACAGGAAATATGTAGCGGTGATGTGGTTGTATTTGTTGGTTTCCAAGGCACTGCGAAAACAGGAAATGCAACTCTTTTAATAATAAAAAAAAAAAAAAAAACTTATTTTGCTGATGTTCAAAAAAAAATAAAAAAAAAATGTTCCTCTATAATAATACACAGTTGTAATGAAAATTATTCAACCCCCAACAGGTTTATTGTCAAAATTTACAGACTTTCAGCTGTTTGCAATGAACAAATGAAGTCACAAGTTGCATTTTCAGTTTAATTTGGGAAAACCACTTGAAATCGCTCAACACAAGGGATGCTTCAATTGGTTTCCCCAAATTCAACTGAAAATGCAATTTATGACAACTTAATTTGTTCATTGCAAACAGCTGAAAGTCTGTCACTTTTGACAAATCTGATTTTCAATGGGGGTTAAATAATTTTCATTACAACTGTACATGTATTTCCTTCTAGATAAAATGTATCAAAATAAACCTGGCATTACCCCAGATATCACACCTAACCTCCATGTTGAGCAATGCCTTTCTATTTGGAACAGAGGAGCACTTCAAGGCAATTACAACTACAAAGAGTTCTAGCAGTATTCCTAAGAAACTTGGCAAACAAAATTGCCTAAATACCTGGTATACCCAACACAAATTATCCATGAAACCCCTATTTTCATTTATTTCAGTTCAGATTAGCTTGCATTGATCACAGAGCTAAAATGATTTCCTTTTGCTCAGAAATTCCCCAAAACATAACCAGTAAATGTTACTTCAGTTTCCTTTGTCATGCCTGTTCTTAGCAACTAATTTTAAAACACATATCACTTTAATTGAGAACACACAAATGTCAGGACTAAACATATTTCAGAAACCACAAATAAAACACGATATTCCTGACACAAAGCTTGAATATGTTTATGGAACGGTAGGAACAGCGATTTTTTTTGTAGTGGTGTTTGATGTATTCGTACAATACATATTATGGGCGGGCTTAAGCAGAGATCATGCATTTTGGATCTGTGAACAAAGCACTTTTTCTGTTTATTAGCCAATATTTGTGTCAACCTCAACCAGAAAGGCACAATATAGTGCCATAACTAAATGGAGACATTACAATAAGTCTAAATTTAGTAGCAATAAAGCTAATGTACAGAAACAAGATATTTTCTATGAAGTTATTGCATATGTGTTTCAAAGAGATTATAAAGAAATATTAAATTCTAAAGCTAAAAACAAAAAAAACAAAAAACCTATTCCAGAAAATACTTAAGAGTGTGTCCCCCCTCACCCCACCGGGTGCAGGGGCAGGGAGAGGAAAAAAACAACAACAAAAAAAACAACAAAACACTAGTATCATGAGGCTTGTAACTTACTCTACAATGGCATCTCTGTCTGCTATGTCACCAAGGACCATGCGCTGTATGATGCTATTGTGTTCCTCTTCCGAGAGGTTTTTGTAGGACACAAGAGGGATGTTATACTTTGTAGCAGGTGATGGGTCAACTCCCTGGAGCCAAGGATGATTTTCAATTTCTTCAAGGGATGCTCTTCGCTTAGGATCTCTCTGGAGCATGCGAGTTATTAAACTGTGAAACAAAATGAAGTACTTAACAAAATTCTGCAAAAGTAACAAAGGTACTAAACTTGTACACTACACATGAACAAAAAAAAAAAAAATAAAAAAAAAAGAACACCCACAACTTTTGCTTGCTTGTAAATTGTATTGGATATGGTACATGATGGCACTTACTCCTTGCACTCTTTGGATACATGCTTGGGGACAGTGTATTTACAATCCATGATCATAGTCAGTGTTTCGCTATCATTTGCCTCTTGGAACGGGGGAGTACCGCAAACCAACATGAAGAGGATAACGCCAAGGCTCCAAATATCTGAAATTGACAGGAGTGATTTAAAAAAACAAAAACAACCCCTGTACAACTAAATATAAAAATGCCAGAGCAGAATCTTTTAAAATATGTAAATCTGTTTAACACCTAAAATTAAAAAAAAAGTGTTATATAATGCCAGAGTTATACATTTACATAAAGAAAAAGATACACTCGCATTTATTCTAAATTTGATAACTCATTGCCAACTGCACACAAGGAAACATAGGTCAGGGTTGATGCTTTATGTGTGGGGGTATATTGTCATATTAACATCCTAACCGGCAACAAAAGAGCTTGCAAATGCTATAGGCCCAATAAGAGCCTTCGTACTAAGTTTTCATTTGCAAGATGGCATAGTCATGGACAGGCTTACACCCCCTATCCACATAGAAATCCCAAAAAGCAGATGATATTGCACCCAAACTCTAACAGTTTTGGCTCCTTAATACATATGCTGCAATTCCTGATCCAGTGCCAATCCTCTGTCTATGTCCTATAAATTGCAGTGTAACTTTCAGTTAATGCAGGGTTCCCAACCCAGTTCTCAAGTACTCCCTAACAGTTCAGGATTTAGGGATTACTCTATGGTGTCTAAAGTGTTTCTTTTTCTTCTAAAAACACCTTAGACACAACTGGGCAATCCCTAAATCCTGGACTGTCAGAGGGGTTCTTAAGGACTGGGTTGGGAACCGCGGAGTTAATGCATATAGAAAATATATAATATAAATAAAAACTACACAAAATATTTTACCCTTTTATACTCCAAATCCCAAAGGTCCTGATTTTATTATTTTGCCATTGTTTTCATTATGATGCCGGTTCATATTCAGAAACCCCTGCAAAGCCATTGTGGGACTACAACCCATATAATGTATTACACACCTGGAGCTCTAATCATTTCTATTTGCTGAAAAACCAAAGAAGAATCAAAATACATTTAGTTTCAACATGCCAACCTCTGCCGCTCACATACTTTCTAATTGCATCCTTTGCACAGTGTGCCATTGTATATAACAAATCATATATGATCCAATACTTATTAAAATTGATATCACAAACACTATGCTAGAACATTTCACACAATAAGAATCTTCCCATTTAGCACTAATAATTTAAAACTTAAAAATCCATTTTAATGATGTCACCTTTAAATAACATGTTTTTCTATTTCTGGGTAAATCAGAATTAGATAGATTAGTTTACATGCATTTCTTCATTAAGAATATGCAATATGAGGATGAAGCAAAAATGTGACAAGAAAACCCTTGCAATATCTTTAGAAACTCTGGACACTTCATTTGCTCTTTCTAGTGTTTGATTCGAGCTAACGTGCAAAAGGAATGATCCCAAAAAAATAAACTAAAACCACTATGCTGTGAGTTGACACTACAAAATAAAATAATGCCGACTATACCAAGGTGCCTACTTTTCTGTAAGCAATAATACTTCACACTAAAACTAAAAACAGGACAGACTGGTAATTCTACCTATACAAACAGCCAGCTATAGTTTGCTGTCCCGATGCGTTTCTGGTGCCAAGTATGCAATGTTCCTCGCCACATAAAAATATGGCTGCTATAACGTATTGGATGGGATACGCAGACACTGGTTATCTCATTATGAGCACATCAGGTACGGTAGAATGCCATGCCAACAGGTGCTTAACTACAAGTAAAGCTACAAGCATACATTGCAGCAGTCATCTTAGAGAGAGTATGCGTTCATCTATTTGTGGATGTCAGTCCCTTTAATAAAAATGAAAAACAATTAGCAAAAATATGTTTACAAACAAGTGGAGAATATTGTGACCACACTTCCTGATGCAGCACAACCATCCTCAACAGCAGTGCAGAACACGTGCCTCGTTTCCAATGTAGCGTTCCATTAAGTGATTGTGTACAACTAGATTCTGAAAGTCTTTACAGGAAATAGATAAGGTTAAAGAGAACCTGTCGTGATACAATTAACTACAGCTCTTATAAAGGATTGAAATTCCATTTATACAGGAAATGTATAGATTTGGAGAAAATCTTTTTAAAAATATGTTTTTCTCCAATCTCTCTCAATTCTTCAGCAGACACTCAATAGCAATGAATTGAGAGACAGGAAGGGCAGAAGATACCTCTTCCACCCATAGCAACCACAGGGCATACGCTTTGGTTGCTGTGGTAGCTCTCTAGCTACTAGCAAGCTGCAACAAAGCCAGTGTTTCGGCATCATGGGTGAGGCTTGCCCTGCTTGGGAAAGTGTCTCCAAGTAGGGCAAATCAGCAAAGAACAGAAGAGGAGCGTAGATGGGCAGAAATGTAACACTCACCTCAGTAAGGAGATAGAGATGGGGGAGTGTAGGGCCAAATAAGCAGGACTGATTCCCTTTAAAATAAGAATTCTTCTTAGGTTCAACTTTCCTTTGCCCTGTGACCCAAATACCGTTCTAAAAATGCATTTCCAAATGACTGCTGCTCACAAAATGTTTATGTACACACTTCTATACTGGACCCCACATGGCAGTCCCAATCCGAGCCCTGTCCCACATCTAAGGGCACAATCTTTGCACATTATTACATTGCAGAGCAGTCCTATCCATGGGCAACAATGTTACCAATTATTCTAAAAGACAGCTATTTTAGTCTGCTTTTAAAAAAATAAAAACAAAACGTTTTAAAATAAACAGCGAAATCATAGGAATAAGTAAGTGCCTGTTAATATAAAGCTTTTGTATACTAAGAGGGTGCCACCTCAAAATCAAAGTGCTGCATTATTACTAATAAAACTATTTGATAGCACAAATACAATTGGAAGAAACATCCTTGTGCAAACAAGACTCTGCCCAGGGAGGAGCAATTGCAGTGTTATTTTTAGCAATACTGAATTAAGGAGAACTCTCAGACTTGACAGTTATTCATTTCAGGACTTACGTACTATATAGCTCTAGATAAATATTAAGTAGTATACTCATATACTTTAGCTCTAAATACATGACAGAGGGTATAGTGATGTGGTAACGCCCCGTGTTGAGACATACATGATGCCATCTGCTAAGTGCAGCCATTTTGCTTACAAAATTATAATATTATAATACACATATACATATACATACACACACACACACATATACACACACACACACACGTGTATGTTCTTGTAGTGCAGATTTTTAAAAAAATATTGTGAGCAGGTCATGCCCAACATAATAAGCAGAAGTGATAAGAATTGTATCCAACACATCTCTGCACCGAGAATCAGTATGGAGAAAAAAAGTGTCCATTAATGATGTGAAATACGTTCAGTTCTCAGTTTCACTTAGTTTTTGGGGATTTTTTTGTCCCCCCCTCCTCTATTTTGATGCCCAGTGAAGAGATGTGTTGGCTACAATAATTTTTTTAGAATTGGAGAAACATTGCTGCCGGCACTGAGAAATTTGAGCACATTTACTGCCACGATGGAGCGAGTTTACGGTGGTTTTCATGATATTATATATACCCATTTTCATTAGCTCTTATTAAAAAATCTTCTCTCTTGTTTGGAGTACTCCTACCAACCCTAATGGGCAACAAGACTGAAAGACTAATCTGTAGATTGGTAAATCAGACTCTGCCATGTGTAAATTTACAGGCCTTAATTCAAGCTCTATACTACTAGCCAGGCTTAAAAAAAAATGTTACTTATCACTGCAAGCAGGGCCGGACTGGGAAGAAAATTCGGCCCGGGCATTTTTTAACTACAGCGGCCCACTAAAAAGGGGGTGGGGCAAGATAGGGTGTGTTTTGTCATCACCAATGACAAGCACGCCCCATCACAAAGTGAGCATGTTTGTTCAATGCTCTTCCAGGGTAGACCATGCGCAGAGCTCTGCTGAAGAGCTCTGGCATGAGAAAAAGACCCTGTATTTGTTCTGCACCGCGCAAGCAAGTTTAATAACATGCTTGCACTGTGTTTGCTTGAAATTTGTCTCTGGTGTCTCCATAGTTGGGATACCAGGAGACAAAAATACTAGGAAAGCATATTGTGCAGCAGTGTGTGTGAGGGTGCTGTGTGTGTGAGAGCTGTGTTTGCATGAGGGTGCCCAATGTTTGCATGTGCCCTGAGCTGGTGAAATAGACCAATCATAGGCTTCACTATGGGTGCATGTGCCCTGAGCCCTGTGATTGGACCACGTACATTCCCTGTGACAACTGAGGGTTCACGGAAGTCCGTGCCAGGGGCTTCACTTAACGATGCATTCCAGGTGAATTATTTGTTTTCTCCATAGTGCATTTTATACCGGAAAGATCTTTTGGAGTAGCCATTTATAGAGGATTTGTAAAGTTTGAAATGTAACGAGTCTTTAAGCAAAGCTGTTAAAGCATTTGCACAGCAACAAGTATAACAGAAGGAATCTTATGTATAACACAAGTGTGGGCACACAAAGTACTCAGGCAAATTTCACACAATGCTTTAAGCTGCTGCACATGGAGTAACTGTGTTATAGACCTTATCCTGAAGTCCAGTACAGGACAGCAGCCAGGAACACAATCTCAGAAGCCTAAGAGGCAAGAAACAAGATGAATATTTCAGCAAGAACTGAAGAAACTCAGAAGATTTCAAAATACATAATGCTTAAATACACAGTTGTTGCAGAAACAAAACATCCTGGATTACGTAATAAATTTAGCCAAACAATTTCCCAAAATATTTTGGCAATCTGCAGCTGTGAATGGCAAATTTCAGTTTTTGTTTTCTATCTCTATAACAATGTGTTACTGATGGTCTAGTTAAAGGCACATAACACTATAGCGCGCCTTGAACTATTATTGCCAAGACTAAATTCAAATTCCACGGTGTTAAAATGAGGTAGCATGACATTTTACTTCTAATTATCAACCCAGCCCCACCCCTCATTATTTAATATTCAAAGGTTTGAGATATAATGCAGGTAATCTGAATAATATACTACATGCCAACATATAACAGCATCAGAAGGGAGCACATAAATTCTTTCAAATGGTTTTTATTTTAGCATTCATTCTTGCATTGTGATGCTGCTCCAATCCTTTGTTGTTCCCCCCAATTAAAAAAAGAACCAGAAATCAAGCATTTAGTGCAGATATTTTTAATACAGTGGGACCTCAATTTACAAAGTTAATGCGTTCTCCGGGACGTTTCTTAATGCGAAAGATTTGTAAACCGAAATGCGGTTTCCCATAGGAATGCATTGAAAACATTTTAACGTTCTGGAGGTCAGAAAAAAAAAAGTCAAAATGAGCTGGCATGGAAACGAACCCACAATGCATGCCCTTTATTGTGTGTTCTGCAAACGATGAAGCTCAGCTCCCTACCTTTCCACAGCTTGAGAAATGCACCAAAAAGTCGCAAAACAACTGCAAACATTTGCCAAAATGGCTCCAAAACTCAATGCAAAAGCCGCTCCAACACCTCCACACTCGTCGCCGTGTGCTACCCACAGGCTCCAGCATGCAGGGAGCCGTGCTATAAACCTCCCAGGTGCAATGCATCCTGGGGAAACTTGCTTTTTTAGTGCGAAAAAAATTTGTACACTGAGGCATTATTTTCAATGGATTTTCATTTGTAAACCAAAAATTATGTTAACCGAGGCGTTTGTAAACAGAGGTCCCACTGTATATGAATACAAGTAAGATAACTAAAATGTTTTTATGATAATATTAAAGCGATTGTGTCACCAAATGGGGTCTTTGCAAAATATGGTGACACCTTCACTTGCTGTGCTGTGGCTAGGTGGTAAAGTGAAAGGAAGGTTTTACTTACCTGAAAATGTTTTGTAACCCTTCATCTACAGAGCTAAAGAACTTTGCTGCCAGAAGTACAACTCCACCTCTGGCAGCATATTTAGCAACCTTTTAAAATGTTATTTATATAGCGCCAACAAATTCCACAGAGCTTTACAGTGGGTGGACAAACAAACATGTTGTTGTAACCAGACAAGTTGGACACACAGGAACAGAGAGGTTGAGGGCCCTGCGCTTACATGCTAGAGGGAGTGGGGTAAAGTGACACAAAAGGTAAGGATAGTATTAGACTAATGACAGTTGCAAGAGACGAATCAGTCGAGAGCTATTAACAGTTTAATTGATATGCTTTTAAAAAGTGGGTTTTTAATAATTTTTTGAAGGAGTGGAGACTGGGTGGGCATCTAACAGAGGAGGGAAGTGAGTTCCACAGGAATGGTGCAGCCCTTGAGAAGTCTTGAAGGCGAGCATCAGAGGTGGGAGTAGGGACAGAAGAAGATAGACGTAAGTCTTCAGCAGAGCATAAGGGCCTAGATGGGACATACTTGTGTATTAGGGAGGATAGATAGGTGGGAGCAGCATTATGCAGAAATTTGAAACCAATAACCAGAATTTTAAATTGTGCCCTACATCTTACAGGAAGCCAATGTAGGAACTGACAGAAGGGTGAGGCGTGGGTGGTGTAAGCAGACAGGAAGATGAACCTCGCCGTCGTATTCATTATGGACTGTAACTGTGCAAGTTGGGAGCACATAAGACCACTGAGAAGCAGATTACAGTAGTCAAGGTGAGAAAGGACAGTGGAATGGACCAGCACCTTAGACGCATCCAGCGTTAAGTAGGGTTGGATGTGCGCAATGTTTTTGAGATGGAAGCGGCAGGATTTGGCGATAGACTGAACATGAGGCATGAAGGAGAGGTCGGCGTTAAAGAGAACACCTAGGCAGCGAGCCTGCGTGGTGGAGCAGATGGTAGCACCGTTGACTTGGAGGGAGACAGACACAGGAGTATCAACACTTGAGGGAGGAAAGCCCAGAATTTCAGTTTTGGTCAAGTTGAGTTTAAGGAAGTGGGCAGCCATTCAGTTAGAAATAGCAGAGAGGCAGTTAGAGACGGTAGTCAAGAGGGACAGGGAGTGATCAGGACTGGACAGATAGATTTGCATGTCATCCGCATAGAAATTATATTTGAAGCCAAAGGAGCTAATTTTACCAAGGGAGGCAGTTTAGATGGAGAACAGTAGGGGGACCAAGGACTGAACCTTGAGGGACACCAACAAAGAGGAGTTGGGGAGAAGAAGTAAAGCCAGAGAAAGAAACACTGAAAGAGCGCTGGGAGAGGTAGGAGTGGCTCCAGGAGAGAGCAATATCTTGTAGACCGATATGCGGAGGATGAGAAGAAGCTGTTGATGATCAACAGTGTCATAAGCTGCAGAAAGGTCAAGGAGAATTAGGATAGAGTACTGACCACAAGATTTTGCAGCGAGTAGATAATTGGATACTTTGGTCAGTGCTGTTTCTACAGAGTGCTTAGTGCGGAAACAAGACTGAAGTGGGTCTAGCAGTGAACTGGACTCGAGGAAGTCTATCAGTCTCGCATACACAACTCTTTCAATGATCTTGGATGCAAAAGGCAGTAGCTAGATAGGACGGTAGTTGGACGGGGAGTTCGGGTCAAGGTTGGGCTTCTTTAGAATTGGGGTTATAGTTGCATGTTTGAAGGGCGATGGAAATCTGCCAGAGGGGAGAAAATGAGAGATTGAGAATTTTAGTGAAAGGTAGAGAAAGAAGACGACAGAGTACGGATGCAAGGTAACTAGATCTAAGTAGCAGGTGGTAGGGCGGGAGGACTGGAGCAGAGCAGAAACCTCTTCTGCTGTAGCAGGTGCGAATGAACAAAGAACAAGAGAGGGAGTGAGGTAATGGAAAGTATTGTAAGGGGAAGAAGACAGATGAGAGAACTCTTCCTTGATTGTAGAGATCTTGTCAGTGAAGTGAGTTGCAAAGTCTGAGGCGGTCAAGTTAGTAGGTGGAAGAGGAACAATAGGGCGAAGAAGAGTGTTAAATGTGCGAAACAGTCGTTTGGGTTTGTGGGAGAGTGTGGTTATGAGTGTATTGAAGTAATTTACTTTTGCAGAGGTAAGAGCCAAGCTGAATGAGTGAAGCATAAATTTATAGTGGAGAAAGTCAGACGCACAGTGAGAATTGCGGGCAGGCTAAAATTACATCGGTGCATCTTTGGCACCTCTCTCCCCATAACACATACTCTAGGACATATCTCCACCTGCAGTAAAGGGGGGGAACATTACCGGAAGAGGGAGACGTTAGCCTTTACCTGACAACATAGGATGTTTTCTTTCTTTGATGTTATTTTGGGGAAAAGGGGATCACTATGCCAATAAGGTCTGCTCAAATGGAAAACCGTATTAACAAAACAAAAATTAATACTGCTAAATAAATAAATTACATTTTTAGAAGATGCCCAAGTATTATTGAACAATGCAGTGTTTGTGGTCCCAGGACATACTTGAAAATGAGAATATCTCATTGTATCCTTCCTGGTAAAATATTTTATTAGTAAATAACTACTGGGAGTAAACACAGGAGTTTATTGTTCATGATGAAAAGGCGGATTGCTCCACCCTAAAATGCTGCTTTAAAAGTAAATAGCATACAAACTAAAGTTATAAAATGTGTTTGGAATTCGAAAAATAAGTAACAAAAAACAATTATATCCATCCATAGATACCATGTTTACTATAAAGGTCTGCCAAAACACATTGGAAACCCAGTAGGGAGCTCAAAACATAATTAAACGAAATATGAATTTCATGTTCAAAAACTTTACACGAAGCAGGTATACCCATAGTTCATGCAGTGGCCATATACACTTAGGCAGGTGATGTTTGCAGAAGGTAAAAGCACATACATCCACATTAAGTAACCCATGCTTTTAAGATTCAGCTAGTGAAAGCACAAAGAGCTAAGCTTTGTACTCCTCAAAATATAAGAGCATTTACTTATTCTGGCTGTAGGCACTGAGCCCAGACCAACAGCGTCCAGAGATTTAATAAAAATTTTGAGTAGAGAACATACTATGAAAAGATATATAAAAATAGTGAGGAATTTTCTCTGTCAGGAATTTATATAGTGAGATATATATATCTATCTATATCTATATAGAGAGATTAAAAAATTCAATATAATAAAACAATATTCCTTAGAATCCAGGAGCAAGTATCAGACAATCAATGGATTTTTTTTTTCCCCCCCCCAGACCTATCTACTATTCACGGTGTTACGTCTAAACACACTAACAGCACATACGTGCAGGGGGGAAAGGAAAGGGTAATATCTACATTTTCATGTTTCCCTTAATAGAAAACTCAAATATAAAACTCTATAAATATAAAGCTCTATATAAAAGAGCTTAAAATTGATCTATATATTATGCTAGCAGTTTTGCTAACAAATGTTTAGATTAGGAGGAAAAAACTATTTAAAGATAGGTTTTTCTTTCATCTCTCTCACTCCAGAGGAATTGAGAGACCGGGAGAAGAAGAAACCTCCCACAGGAGGTCTCTCTGCTCTCCACCCAACCACAGCATATGCTCTGATTGCCATGGTAATAGGTGGAACTGGGACTAAGAAAAAAAAAAAAGAATATAACTGCTAGCACTGGCTAGGCAGTATAGGAACGGAGAACGTACTACAACAATTTCTATGAAAGTGTTACACGTCTTTAAAATCAGATTTAAAACAGCCCTTTCAGGGCGGGGCTTGGCAGCTGACAGAGCAAGATGCATGTTGTGGAGGCTCTTTGATTTTAAGGTAGATTTATGGAGTTTTGCCAAAGCCAAGAACCTTCAATAGAGTCCCTCTGCAATTCAGTGACACAGCCATCTCCCTCTTGATCCCGATAGTAGCTCTCCGTAATAGTAGCTGGTGATTGCTGCTGGTACAGCTGGAAGCCTGCTCGTGCAGGAAATGTGGCTGATTCTCCATTCTCCCACGACACTACTGCGTTGTAAGATCAGTAGGCTCAGCATGCATTTTCCTTCATTATATTTCTTGACACACACTTGTATACTCTACTTTATATTATAAAAATAACTTTATTCATGACATTTTTTACTTCCCATGCAGACTAAAATCTTGATAAAATGTCTTCATGAGTCTATATGTTAACTTTGGCACAACAAAATAAAGAATTTAAAAATAAATAAAAACAACAGCCCTTTCCTCCTTCTCTCAGTTCAGTCTGTGCAGATCGCAACAGAGCTAAGAAGGCTGTGCTCTGCATGTCTGGGCATATCTAGCTTGCCTTCAGCCTATGGAAAAGCAATGCCTGCAAGGGAAAGAAAGAGGAGATGCAAGCTCTATGTGAAAGCAGCACCAGCAGAGTTGAGAGAAACAGCCAGAATGATTTATTGCAGTAGCTTTGGAAAGGCAGTCTGAGAATGGAGATAGAAACAAAGAACAGATATGTTTTATTTATGTATCATAAAGGCAACATAAGGTGTTGGGAGCTTTTAGTTGGTTATGGAAAGAAAGTCTGTGCTTCCCAAACAGGAGATGTGTCTATTAGAAAGTTTAGAATCCACTAAAAATATGATTGATGCTCTCGGCAGGGATAATGGAAATATATTAAACTATGAGCTTTTAATACTATTAAGGAAATAAACACTTAATTTTAGAACACGAGTAAACTCAGATGGTTAAAAAACTGCATACCTATACTCGTCACTACAGGTTCACTCTAAAGGGTTTAAAGGGGGTAGTGTAAGGCTGGGAAGAACTACAAAGTCACTTAATTAAGTGTCCACATGGAATCGAGTGATGTCCCATTGTAGCTGCATCCTGATTCACCAGAGAACACTGGACAGCAGGTAAATATTGCTAGCGGTCTGCACCAGTTTAAAAAAAAAAAAAACAGACCAAGAGCTTCTTTTTATGAGCTCCCGTATCAGCCAGTGTTATGAAAACTAAAATAAAAGCAGCAACACTATAAAAGGAAACTAGAAAATTACTAGAAGAAGAAAAAAAAAATAATTTCATAAAATGTAGATTCTATAAAATATCGACTATAGGTTTTACTCTAGTCCACTGACAAACATAAAAGCCCATTGTCTATTAGAAAAATAAGGGCGTTCAAATAATGTATGGTGGCTGAACAACACTGTACCAGTCCTCTGTCACTCCCTTTTTAAATAGTTACAATTTAGGCCATACCTCCAAACTGACAATGCTCTGTTCATATTAGAAATAAGAAGTTGAGTCAAACATTAGAGGGGCACAATAATCACCAGAACAACTACAGCTTAATGTTAATAGCTCCCTTCAGACATTTTCTTGCAAACACTGCCTTTTCAGAGAAAAGGCAGTGTTTACATTGCCCCTAGGGACACCTCCAAGTGGCCACTCCTTAGATGGCCACTGGAGTGCTTCCTGGCTCAGGGCTGCAGTGAGCCGCCCGGCCATTCAGCATCCCCACGCTCTGCATGGAGACACAGAATATTCCTCATAGAGATGCACTGATTCATTGCATCTCTATGAGGAGGTCCTGATTGGCCAAAAGGGCAGTTGGCCTCGCCCCCCATGCCAATTATAGCCAATCCAATGCTTTCCCCTATGGGAAATAGGGAAAGCATTGGATTGGCTAAAAAGCTGCCAGCGCCAGTGGACCCGTGCGTCACTGGAAATAAGGCGCATTTAAAAACTTTTATTGGGGGGGGCAAGCCACCTAAATGGTAGGTTAAACACTATAGGGTCAGGAATACGTGTGTGTGTTCCTGACCCTATAGTAATCCTTTAAAACCTAGCAGCAGCACAATATGAGAAGTTAATTTGTGAGTTTTTAAAGCAAAAATCAACTCAAAGCTAAACAAATGCAACAAAGCAAATTAAAAAAGCCAGGTCAATAAATCAATGACCAATTTCCCTTGTAATTACATTATATAGTGATCTTAATTTCTATTTTACAAGGTAAAGTATATTAGAGAAGAGTGGAAAATTGGAGATATAGTGGATAATGGGGTTTGCAGTCAAGAAGGAATGGGCATCAAGAGTTGTAGCCTGGGAAGGCTTCAAACTGAAATTATAATGGAAATGGTACTGCAACGCCCTTAGCTACTGTATACAGGCTGGTGGTCAGGAAGGCAATGTGCTTACAATTACAAAATCAAAATAAATAAAATCAGTTTACCCCAGATGTTCTAAAACTACATCTTCCATGATTCTTTGTCATTCTAAAAGCACGAAAAGTATCCAAGGAGTTGTAGTTGTACAACAACATCTGGGGATCTACCGTTTGGGCACCCTTGGTGTATAGAGTAGTCTACTGTATTTCACCGGGTTAGCCAATAATGTTTTGTCCTAGGCAGCTTAGATTGCTAAAAGTTACACCCCAGACCCCTAAAGCACTTCGCTTCCTAAGTGCTTTGTGTGTGTCCTTTTCTTTTTCTTTATACAAAAAGTTCAGACTTCAATAGCAATTAGTACTTGTATAAATTAATCATCTTATATCTCCTAGCTGTCAGACAACCAGTCCAGTTACTTTCTGGTGGTGTCATTCACAAATTATCCAAAAATCCCAGATAAGTGACTAAACCTGTATCTATCAAGCCCATCGATTCAAACATACTTTGCAGGCTTCAAGCTAATGATATTTCCCAGATAGGCACAATAACAGTAGCTTGAGATAATGAGACTTCCAAAAAAATATCCCAATTAGGAGCAAGACATGTGTGCTTAAATATATATATATATATATATATATATATATATATATATATATATATATATATATATATATATATATATATACATACACACATATACACACACACACACAAAAAATGGCTTGCACTCACGGTCTTGAAATGTAAAAAAGTTCTTCTTTATTCAAAACGTATCCATAAAATCGTCACACCAACGTTTCAGCCCTCGTCCGGGGCTTTCCTCAGGATGAACTGAGGAAAGCCCTGGATGAGGGCTGAAACGTTGGTGTGACGATTTTATGGATACGTTTTGAATAAAGAAGAACTTTTTTACATTTCAAGACCGTGACAGCAAGCCATGTTTTCACTTGTATACTTTTTGGCTATGGCTTAATCAATTAATCAACTTGGTTTAGACTGAGTGCAAGGACACAAGCATAAAAAAAAAAAAAAAAATTATATATATATTTATTTATTACATGAAATAAAATATTTTCCTGTTCAACTAGAGCATTAACAATGCAACGTGCCAAAAATCCAAGATATATAACAAATTGGTTATAAAATGGATATACATACCTACTGCGGGAGCATCGTACTCATCTCCAAGCAGTATCTCTGGTGCAGAATAAGCAAGCGATCCACAGCTTGTTGTTAGTTTTTTCCCAGGCTGGAACTTGTTGCTAAAGCCAAAATCTGTCAATTTCACAAGACCCTGCTTTTCAAAAAAGACCACATTCTCTGGTTTTAGATCTCTATGCACAACATGCAATTTATGGCAGTAAGATATTGCATGAACGATCTGAGCAAAGTATTTTTTGGCCAAATCCTCGCTGAGACCTTCTTCATGCTTCATTATGTAATCATACATATCACCTCCATCACCAAGTTCCAAAATTAAATACAATTTGGTCTGTGTATCAATGACTTCATACAAGCGAACTATATTGGGGTGTTGCACCAGTTTCATGCATCTAACTTCTTGGAAAAGATGCCCTGTGGCCAGAGAGTCTAGTTTGGTCTTGTCGATGACCTTAACAGCTACCTTTTCACCAGTGAAGACATGGCGAGCAAGTTTGACAACAGCAAAGTGTCCCCGACCCAAGGTTTTATCCAGGTCATAAAGTCCAGCTATCTTCCCATCATATCCTCTCTTGAAACCTGCCATGCTGTACCAAGTAGAAAAGTTTCCTGAAGCTTTGGCTGTCAGGTTTCTTTCATAATTGAATTTCCAATGCAAGTAAGAAATGCATTTTCACTGTTGATAAGAAATGCCTGTAAGACAAGAAATAGTTTGACATGAGATAATATGAATACAAATCTGAAATTTATTCTAAAAATAGGTAATGGTCAAGAAATCACAGTAGAGTTTAATAGGTTTTAGAGCCAGGCTGCACCACAGCATTTTAACCAGTTCTCAAAACTTCTACTCGCTACTAGAAATTCAGCCCTAACAAGAAGAAAGTTTGTTGCTATGAATTCTCCAGACTTGCAGTGGCAAATAACTTTTAAGGCCTGGCTAGTAGAGCAGAACTTTAAAAGAAAAACCAGTCACCTCAACACTAACATCTTTCATCAACTTTTGAAAAGGAAATAGTTTTTCTTCATTTAACCAAAAAATAAAAAAATCTACTATATTAGAAAAAAAACTAATTCCTACCTGTAGTATATGACAGGGTCCTTCAGCCATGTACATGCATCTTTTGAATTTGACAGTCAGTCAGATGATGCCACTGCAATGTGAAGCAGGGAAGACCATATAGACTTGATTTCCAAACACTGTCTGACCCAAGGTGCATGCATACATGGCAGAAGGAACCAGTTATATACTAAAAGTAGGGATGAGTTTCTCTATTTTTAAAATTTATTTTACATACACTTAATTTACCAATGAACCTATTTTTCTTCATTAATTGATTAAAGGATCATTATTGTTAGTGTTGATGTGACAGTTCTCCTTTAAATTCTAATCCCTGATTTTAACAGAACAATTTGTATATTTCCCCAAGCTACATAAGCCATGAGTTTTATGGTCCACTCTTAATCAGAATGAAAAACATTTCAGCACATTTTTTATAAAATGCACAGAAGTAACTTTACAAAGTTTGTGAAGAATAATTACTTTAGAAAATAAATTTTGGCAAACTGAAAACGGAACTGCAAAAGGCAAAATTTCTATTGACAATATTTATTGACCTTAATTTTGAAATCTGATTTTCAACGGTAGTTTAGCAAAGACAAAAAAAAAACCCCACAAAACATATTTTAAACGTACTGACTAATGACGTGCCGAGTATGTCATAACAGAATGGGATATGACTTAATCCTTGCTCAACTGTTTAGAGTAATGCAATATGTTAAATGTAACAACTGTCACTGTTTTTACACTTCTAATCAAGTATGAGAGCATTACATTGATCTGGAATCCCCAACACTATTAGTCTATCCAACAACTATATTTTAAGAACACTGAAGCCATGAAAAGAAGTGTACACCTGGTCAAGCAGTGCCTCGCCCAAGTAGACACCTGAGCCCAATGTCTTGAATTATCCATTTATCAGTTAAGTTTGCACCACTACTTCTTAAAGGATCACTATAGAGTCAGAAACACAAACATGTATTTCTGACCCTATAGTGCAAAACCCACCATTTAGGTGGCTTGCCCCCCCTTAAAAGTTAATAAAATCTTATTTCCAGTGCTATGTGGGTCCCCCGGCGCTGGCCCCGCCCCCTTGGTGACATCTGAATTGACGATTTTTAGCCAATCCAATGCTTTCCCATGGGAAAGCATTGGATTGGCTGAAATCCGCATGGGGTGGGGCCAAACATCTTTTGTCCAATCAGCACCTCCTCATAGTTACATAAAATCAATGCATTTCTATGCGGAAAACTCAGCGTCCCCATTCAGGGTGTGGAGACGTTGATCTGCAGTGCTGCCTACTATGCAGCACTGTCCCAGGATGCACCTCCAGTGGCCAATTGGAGGTGTCCCTAGGGGCAACGTAAACACTGCCTTTTCTCTAAAAAGGCAGTGTTTGCATGAAAATGCCTGCATACAATGATTTTACTCACCAGAGCAACTACATTAAGCTGTAGTTCTGGTGACTATACAGTGTCCTTTTAATGCCATGAAGGATTAAACACCATTATTAAGTTTCATGCATCAATGCTGCTTAGCACCTTTTAGGATCACAAACTGGGTTATGTATTCCTTCTCAAGCAATAAACATGTAATCCCTCAGGTGACAGAGAAAGGAAGCTGGGGAACGTCACACATAGCAGCGCAGCAACGATGCCCTGGGCAGTTCTATAAATATTTTAAATAATCCTCCAGACAATTATTGCAAGTGATTGTGTACAGAAACAAAAATCTAACAAATTGATACTTTTTGTTTAATACATACATGCACCAAAAAGACAAAGTAACATTATTAGTTTATATCAATATCCTGTTGCATTTTTGGAGCTGCAGCACTTTCAATGAAAACTAGGACTCTAAATATCTATTTTAATGTTTGATTCTATATAACAATAGAGTTAAAATACTTTTGCTGCCAGTGCACTGCCTGTTGTCAGTAAAAAAATAAAAATAAAATAAAAAAAAGAGTTTGACTGTTAATACCAAGACTAACTGAAGACTTTATGGGAAACAAGCTAGGGTCCTCCTCATTTATTCCACAGAAAAATATCACTCAATTTCTTCTATCTTTTTAGACAGAGACCTAAATTACAGACATAAACTTAGCTTGGTGAACCAATCTTCAAATGTAATATAATAGATCTCAAAGTTTGTAAAAAAACTTCTTTAGAAAGATAATAAGAGTAGGTGATGTGTAGAGTCCCACAAGGGGAAACCAACATCAGGAGAGCTCCACTGTATAAGAAATGAGGAAGGGAGGCCCTACCGTTAATCAATCGAAGGATAAAAAGGGATATGCAAACAAAAAGTATAGCTTGAAAAAAAGGGAGATCTACTAAACGGTGCCCAGGGGATCAATTGACTGGAATACTAGCTAGCACCTAAGTTCCAGTTCCCCTAGTGTCCGACTGACTAACTAGGTTAAGGAGAGAGAAGGGGCACAGGGTCCCCAGAGAACAAGGGACAGGGTAATCAGACCTAAATGCAGATGAAAAGCCTCACACACAAAAAAAAATAAAAATCTCTCAATACACCCTAAAAGTTACCTCGACACCGTGGTCTAACCACTAGTGTCTACCTGAACCAACTCTCCCTACTAAAGTTATAAATAAACACCTAAAAATAAATAACCATAGTGGTAAGAAAAATAAAAAAAAAGTGCTACCAAGTGCAGAGATTAAAGAAAAAGAAAATGCTCGATGTGCGTTTTGGCGTGTTCAAAACGCCGTCGTCAGGAGCCTCCCTTCCTTATTTCTTATACAGTGGAGCTCTCCTCATGCTGGTTTCTCCTTGTGGGACTCTACACATTACCTACATATTTTGGGGGGGGTTACCCCCTCATTGGAGCTCCCTATTAGGTGGTTACAGTGGTGCAGCTCATGAGCCCTTGACTTTTATCCAGACTCCTGACCTGCACTCTGTTTACTTTATTCCTCCATTTTGTGTTTCTTTAGAAAGATGCCTCCATTGCACTGATTAAAGAGATAGTACAGGCACCCAAAGCGCTTCATCTCAATTAAGTGATCTGGGTGCAATGTCCTTGTAGTTTTAACCCTTTACATTATGTGGCATAAATGCCTATAGTGATAAGCACTTCCTCTGTAATACCAGAGTAAAACTCTGCTATTTCAATCAGATGACCTCATAGAGACCATCTGACAGGTGCAGTGATCAGACAAGCATGTGCATTTGCCTCTCAAAGCTTTCCTATGGAAACCATTTGAATTGACAGATATAATCAAGATCAATTGTAAACAGAAGCAGCTCTAATGGTCACCTGAAGGACAGCCATAAGAGGTGTTCTAAGAGACAGATAAAAAAACACTGCCGTTTTACAGAAAAAGTAATCTTTAGAAATTAAAATTGCAGAGACAGGCTATTTGCACCAAAACCACTACATTAAGCTGTAGTGATTCTGGTGTTTAGAGTTACTTTAAATCCAATGCTTCTAAACAAAATTGTTCAGCAATGATAACATGAAACTTTGAAATATTGATAATCTTGATAGTGATAGAGGTAGTGTCTCTAGAGGCTGTCTGACAGCCATGAAAAGTATCCTTTATTACAAATACAAACATTGCAATTTCGCACAGACAAAAATGTTTATATTTGTCAGACAGCAGGGACAGGGTTTTACCACCAAAATCACAACACGCAGTGGTTTTGGTGCCAGGCTACCATTAAAAAGTGTACTAAATATCTAATAAGAGTTATAGGAGTAGACTGACACATGGGATTGAAAAGATTAAATAGATGGTTACAAGCTGAAACACATAGGGTAAAGTTTGCGGGCTGCTCACACAAAGGATAACTGACTAAACAATTCACACCATCTTGTTTAACTGCTATTTTTACATTCACATCGTTCTTCAAAACACCAATGAAGTCTGTCCAGTGAGTTCAAAGATGCAAACAATCCACACTGCATTTATTTGTATATTTAGTTGTTTCTATGTATACACATGCAGGAGAGTGTTATCAGATATACATGATTGAAGATTATACAAAGGCAAAATATGTACAGTGAATGTTTAATGTAACCAAGGTACAGATTACGTAAAGGGTTTTTTGTTTTTACTCATGGCTTACAGATTTTTTTTTATTTATTTATTTTTTTAAGTAATCCTTTTCAGGAAAACAAATTTTTTTTTTAATAAAAGTTGCATTTTCAGTCCAATTTGGGGAAACGAAAGCATTTGTTGAAGCATAGGTTGTGTTGAGCTATTTCAATTGCTTTTGTTTGATTTGTTCATTGCAAGCAGCTGAAAGTCTAGATTTGGACAATAAACCTGGTTTTCATTGGGGGTTGAATAATTTTGATTACAACTGTTTATACATACCAATATACAATATAGAACTGTACTACAGGTGGACAAGCTGGGTGCAACAAGACAAGATGGACAATACAGGAATAAACTGTTGAGAGAACCCTGCACAAACGAACTTACGGTCTTTAAATTTTTTCATTCTTCAGCCTATTCACATCTGACATTTTGCAAGTCTAAAATCTGTCAACAACTATAAACCAAGCTTGTTATGATAAGTGAAGTTATAAACTTTTGTGTCGCTACATAAATATTTGAAAACCTGTTTTCTAAGGATATGTTCTGCTACAAAACACTTTCATTTGCGTCATTTGGGAGATGTGCTCAAAATAAATAAATAAATAAAATAAAGGGAACTCTTTCATAGATCCATAAAGAGTTATTTAAATTACCAATGCGCAAGTTTACAACATATTTTCTAGAGAACAGATTGCTAAAGTCTTTAGAAACACGTTAGGCACATACACATTTACTTGGGATCAATAACATTCACAAAACATAAAATACTGTTAAAATCAGACTTTCACATGCTAGCAGTATGATCTCCTGTTTTTTAATGGAAAACTCCAAGCACTACACTCCACTTAAGCATGCTGGAATGTTTATGGTACAAAGATTGCTTAGACTAGAGCATCCCAATGTTGAACTTTTTATATGCGATGTGCTGGGAGCTTCTTCCCACCAGCTGTGCACAGGAGGAAAGGGAGCATAATGGGGTCCACCAGATGCTGCTCCACACCTCACCTATACTAGAAGCTTACTTCATTGTGCTAAGTCCGGCAGTGCACAGCTCAGCTCATTGGCTGAGTGTGATCATTTGATGAGCTCAACAGGTCATGGCTTAGGAAAGTAAAGTAAGCTCCTAAGCAGGAGCTCCTGGCTATAATAGCAGACAGCTGTTGAAAAAAAAAAAACAATGCATGCACACACAATAACGTCCAGTGAAGGACACTCATACATACAAATATACACACGTCTTACAAATACATTCTTGCAGTAACACATTTCATACAAATATTCAATAACTGCATCTGTACACATTAATATATACACAAATATTCATTTGAATTCACACTCATCGATAAATACATTTCTGCATTCCAAATACATTGACTCTCTGCAAGATAAACCCTGCTTACACACAGTTGATGCAAAAACACTACCAGCTGAAAAGCTCTCTAAAGGTAAAGAAATGTCACTGATTAGCAATTTTGGGACAACAATGACACTGGTCAGTGATTTGGACACAAGAATGACACTGCTAAGATGGGGACAAAGATAATTTGAGACCAAGATGGCACTAATTAGCTATATTGAGACCAAAAAAAGGCACTGGGAAGCTGTATGAGGACAGGCGGCACTGGGAAGCTGGGCACATATATGGCACTGTAGGAAATTGGTGACATGTGACCTGGGTTGGGGGTGGAGTGGTTTCCATAGAATATGGGTGTGGTTAGAAGTGTTATGTTTGTAAAGGGGAGGAGTTCGCAATATAGCCACAGGGGCTGACTATTTCAGTGTAAAACCTACAGATGCAAGATATTCTGATGTATCTAAGGCATGCCTGACAGGTCAAGCATTAAAATGAAACTAATAGATGCAAAGTTGCCAAAAATAGGTATCAATTTAACAATTAAAGACAAATATTTAATAGCTCACATACATGTACCGGTAAGTTTTGATGGGAAATACTGATATGAAGTGCAAAATCTTTGAGAGATCTCCTTTTGCATTATTATCTTAACCCCTTAAGGACCAAACTTCTGGAAAAAAAGGGAATCACACATGTGACATGTCATGATTCCCTTTTATTCCAGAAGTTTGGTCCTTAAGGGGTTAATGCAGTCACTGCCTTTGGAAACAGATAAGAAAGCACCCAAGAGTTTATGTCTGGCTGAGAATTATGGGAACATCAAGGATGTGAGATTCCAAGGTTAGCAGCCACTGGGTTAGGTAGGTTTAACCTTTGTCAGATTGCAATTTTGTAGACATATTGTTTGCCTCTACCTCATGTATAGGCTTAGGTAGTTACGTAGAATGGTAAAACTGGCAATGTGATTATGCAATATCTGGCACATACACAGCAATGACTAATGATGCTCATCAAGCCTGGATGAGCATCATTACCATCAACATGACAGTTGGCAAACTAAACCGGGCAGGACATGAACAGACTCGTGTATTAAGATTACATAACAGTATGACTTCGGTTTAATGATTAGAAACAATGGGCAAAAACTTAACCTTCCTCGTTCCCTCAAAATTTTTTATAGATGATGGCAGATATACCCGAGTTGGATGGTTTAAGTTTTATTACAATTCTACGGTCATTGACCATATCCTCATCGACTAATCTTAACCCTTTAAGACCGGAGGGCGTACTATAACGCTGGGCGTAATAGTACCTTTCTGTACTTACCCGGTCGCTGGCGATCCCACGCCAGCGATCGCGGTTGGGGGGACTCCCAGGGAGCCCCCCGCGGCACGTCCGACCCCCTGGAAGCCCCCCCGGCCATGTAAGAGTGAGGTCCTTGCGAGGACCTCACAATCACATGGCCGGGATAGCTGCCTCCTGCATTGCCAGCAGGGGGGCTGCCTGTAATGACAGGTGGTCCCGATGCTGGCTGGAAATAAAAATAAATAAAAGTTAAAAAGTGCAAAAAAAATATTTAAAAAAAATTATATTATAATATATATATATATATATATATATATATACACACACACACACACACACACACACACACACACACACACACACACATATATATACATATACACACACTGTATAGGTGTATTTTACTATTAAAAAAAAAATATATATATTTTAATATCAAATTACACGTAGACTGATACTGACTAAAAAAAATTATATATATATATAATTTTTTTATTGTTTTATATATTTATATAATATAAAAAAATATGTAAATACGTTAAATAAAATAATTTTAAAATATATAGATGTGTGTTATTTCATTCTGTTTTGTGATATTAATATATATTTATATCACTATATATAAATAAAAATATTTTTTAAAAATTATATACATACATATATATATATATATATATATATATATATATATATATATATATATACACACACACACACACACACACACACACATTAATTCTACATATATATTTATGTAATAATTTTACATAATTAGGTATCTTAATTAATTACAATTAGTGGGAACTGCCTGACAACCCATGCCGGAAGTAAAGGGAATTTAATTTGCTAGCACTATATTTAACCCTATAACTTTCCAAGACACCATAAAACCTGGACATGGGGGGGTACTGTTCTACTCGGGGGACTTTGCTGAACACAAATATTAGTGTTTCAAAACAGTAAAATGTATTACAACGATGATATCGCCAGTAAAAGTGACTTTTTTTTGCATTTTTCACGCACAAAGAGCACTTACACGGACGATATTATTGCTGCAATACTTTTTACTGTTTTGAAACAAATATTTGTGTTCAGCGAAGTCTCCCAAGTACAACAGTACCCCTCATGAACAGGTTTTATGGTCTTTTCAAAAGTTACAGCGTCAAATATAAGGCTTGTGTTTCATTTTTTTCACATTAAAATTCGCCAGATTGGGTACGTTGCCTTTGAGACCCTATGGTAGCCCAAGAATGAAAACGACCCCTATGATGGCATACCATTTGCAATAGTAGACAACCCAAGGTATTGCAAACGGGGTATGTCCAGTCCTTTTTAGTAGCCACTTAGTCACAAACACTGACACACAGGATCAGTGATCACAGTGACTGCCTGTCACTGTGATCACCTCCTGCAGATTGGGTAATTGGCCACAGGGGGGAGTGCCTGGGTGGTACAAGCACTCCCCCCTTCCAATCTGCAGGGGGATCTGTGTGCCAGTTACATGTGTCAGCCAATAGGCTGACACATGTAACACTGATCGCAGTGACAGCCTGTCACTGCGATCAGTGACTGCAGATCGCGGTCACCGGCCACAGAGGGGGTTGCCTGGGGGGCCGGGCATCCCCCCCAACCGCGATCTGCAGCGGGCGAATAGCGCCGGCCACATGGGCGGCCATTAAAGTGAGGGCGTACTATTACGCCCGCTGGCGTTTAGAGCCGGCTCCTGCAGGGCGTAATAGTACGCCCTCCGTCCTTAAGGGGTTAAACACACACACAAAATATACACTACAAGTATTGGCAGTATAAAGCTTGTCAAAAGCAGATAGTGAAAGGAAGATAGAAAAAAAACACAAAACAAATAAAACTACGTAGATTGTACTGTTTGAAATTTTATAGATGGCATCATCTCTTGTACAATATAGGAATTCATGTAGACCAGGGGTTCTCAACATTAGTCCTCAGGACCCCCTACCAGTCCAGGGTTTAGGGATTACCTGGGTGTGTCTAAGGTGTTTTTTCCCCTTTTTCTAAACACCTGAGACACACCCAGGTAATCCCCAAATCCTGGACTGGTAGGGGGTCCTGAGGACTAGGTTGAGAACCCCTGATGTAGACTAAATAGACCACATTCGACAAATCTGTTTATAAAATATTTTACCAGGAAGGATACATTGAGATTTCTCTCGTTTTCCTTGTCCTTAGAGTTATGTCTACAAATGCTCGCAGTTTAGGGAATAAGATCCATGAACTTGTGGCAATAATGGCAACTGATAATGTAGATTTAGTGGCTGTTACTGAGACATGATATAATGAGAAAAATGACTGGGACATAGCAATACCAGGGTACTCTTTATATAGAAAAGACAGAGAAGGCAAGAAAGGGGGAGGAGTGGCCCTGTATGTGAAGGATAGCATAAAATCTATCCTAATAAAAGTTAGTGAGGCGAACATAGAGTCCGTTTGGGTTACGTTAGAATTTAGTAATCACACAGTAACTCATGTAGGTGTGATTTATAGGCCCCCAGGACAAATTGAAGAGTTAGATAATCTACTAGTTGAGGAAATAGCTTAAATGACAATGAAGGGGGAAGTTATCATCATGGGTGACTTTAATCTTCCTGATGTGAATTGGAAAACAAAAATAGCCGCTTGTGCCAGGAGCACACATATTCTAAACTTCCTAATGGGATTGTCTATAAAACAAGTCGTTGAGGAGCCAACTCGTAAAGAGGCCATACTAGATTTAGTGTTAACAAATGGAGATTTGGTATCAGATATTACTGTAGGTGAAAGTTTAGGATCCAGTGATCATCAGTCAGTGTGGTTTAATATAAGAACAGTGACTGAGTCACACCACACAAAAACAAAAGTTTTAAACTTGTTATGTGTAAAGGAGTCATTATCAGACTGGACTGGAAATTGGATTATTTAAAAAGTTGCACTGCTGAAGGAAACAGAAAATTGCATTAGGTTTGTCAGTAAAAGCAAACATTTAAAAAAAAAACCACTGTGGTACTCCACAGATGTGGCCAAAATAGTAAAAAACAAAAAATTAGCATTTAGTAATTATAAAAAAAACCCAGAGTGGGAAGACAGAATGATCTAGAAGATTAGGCAGAAAAAGGCTAAGCGAGTTATAAGAGCTTCCAAATCACAGAAGAGAAGAGAAAACAACAGACAGTTAAAAAAGGAGGACAAAACATTTTTTAGATACATAAATGAGAAAAGTAAAGACAAATAAGTCAATGGGACCTGATGGAATACACCCAAAGTTATTAAAAAAGCTTAGTGGTGTACCTGCAAAACCATTAACAGATTTATTTAACCAATCATTGTTAACAGGAGTAGTCCCAGAAGATTGGAAGTTAGCGAATTTTGTGCCCATTCACAAGAAAGGTAGCCTTACTTCAGTATTGGAGAAAGTAATGGAAACCATGGATAGGATTGTTGAACATCTAAAATTCCATGAATTTCAAGATCAGGGACAACATGGGTTCACTTCAGGGAGATCATGCCAAACTAATCTTATTGATTTTTTTGATTGGGTAACTAAAATTATAGATTAGGGTGGTGCAGTAGACATTGCTTACCTAGATTTCAGTAAGGCTTTTGACACTGTTGCACACAGAAGGTTTATCAATAAACTACAATCTTTAAGATTGGATTCCAATATTGTTGAATGGGTAAGGCAGTGGCTGAGTGTCAGGCAACAGAGGGTTGTAGTCAATGGAGTATATTCAAAGCTTGGGCTTGTCACCAGTGGGGTATCTCAGGGATCTGTATTTTCTTTAATATTTGTATTAGTGATATTGCAGAAGGTCTTGATGGTAAGGTATGTCTTTTTGCTGCTGACATTAAGATATGTAACAGGGTTGATGTTCCAGGAGGTATAAGCCAAATTAGGGATCGACCGATATTTATTTTTTTAGAGCAGATAACCTTAATCTGTGAATTTACAGGCCCATAGCTTACCGATATGCTGTACATTTACCATATTGAAAAAATAAACTATTTCTAAAAGATATATGCACAAAATATACATGCCACGTGTAGTGGACGCAGTGTGTGTAGCGGATGCAGTGTGTATATAATGCATGCAGTGTGTGTTTGTGTAGTGTGCGTGTATATACTAAATGCAAAGTGTGTGTGTGTGTATATAATGCAGTGTGTATTTCTGTAGGTACGTAATTTGTGGGGAGGAGGCATTTTTATTAAAAATTTTTTTTTTTAAATATTTAATAAGAAAAATTTGTAGTCCCCTCTCCCTGCATGTTACCTGGCCAGGGAGAGGGGGATATAGCATCCCTGGTGGTCCAGTGGCATGGAAAGTACAGTGGGAGCCCGCAGCAAGCGCTTACCTTCCCAGCAGCTCCCCAGTGTAAATCTCACGATTGGTGAGCTGCTGGGAAGGTAAGTGCTTGCTGGGGCCCCCTCCGGAACCGCTGGGCTTGTCATGGGCCCAGCTGTCCTGGTATGTATTATCAGTAATATCGGTCTCTCTATTGGCCGACACCGATATTGCCGAAAATGCCAAATATCGGCCAGACCGATAATCGGTCGATCCCAAAGCCAAATGATTTTGGTAAACTAGAAAAATGGTCAGAGTTGTGGCAACTGACATTTAATGTGGATAAGTGCAAGATAATGCATCTTGAATGTAAAAACTCAAGGGCAGAGTACAGAATATTTGATAGAGTCCTAACCACAACATCTGAGGAAAGGGATTTAGGGGTGATTATTTCTGATGATTTAAAGGTAGGCAGACAATGTAATAGAGCAGCAGAAAATGCCAGAAGAATGCTTGGTTGTACAGGGAGAGGTATTAGAAGTTGAAAGAGGGAAGTGCTCATACCATTGTACAGAACACTGGTGAGACCTCACATGGAGTATTATACGCAGTACTGGAGACCATATCTCCAGAAGGATATTGAAACTTTAGAGACAGTTCAGAGAAGGGCTACTAAACTGGTTAATGGATTGTAGGATAAAACCTACAAGGAAAGGTTAAAGGAACTTAACATGTATAGCTTGGAGGAAAGACGAGACAGGGGGGATATGAATCAACACAGTAAAGGAGGAGACTATATTAAAAAGAAGAAAAACTACCACAACAAGAGGACAGTGTCTTAAATTAGAGGGACAAAGGTTTAAAAATAATATCCGGAAGTATTACTTTACTGAGAGGGTAGTGGATGCATGGAATAGCCTTCCAGCTGTAGTGGTAGAGGTTAACAGAGAAAAAAAGATTTTACGCATGCGTGGGATATGCAAAAGGCTATCCCAACAATAAAATAAGGTCAGGGACTAATGAAAGCATTTTAAAAATTAGGCAGACTAGATGGGTCGAATGGTTCTTATCTGCCGTCACATTCTATGTTTTCTATCTGGCAAAAAGGGAGGATGCATTGTCACTGTTGAAACTATTTTCTCTTCTGAAGAGGTTAATATCCAATAACGACTTCTGCAGCTGTGCAAGACAGAATTGCTGCAGGCCAGTGTTGCAGCAGATGGCTATAGTACTCCCCTGCTCGCTCCTTTCTACACTGTCATAGAATCTCAAACAGGCACTGCAGGACATTGAGAAAAAGACTCCAGATCTCATCCACCTCAGTAACTTCATTTCCATCTGCATCCATAGTAATTTTAGAAACCCCTTTGATCAAAACTACAGGGCCAGACCACTACAGCTAGAAAAGGTGCAATCTGCTCTTCATAATGCAATAAAAGGGTTGAAATCTGCTGTTAAACATTTCTGTTTATAACATTCATAACAATGTTTGAAGTCTGGATTTGACAACATGCTGGGAAGCAAAGTTCCAAATATTCTGTGGCTGCTATTTGTTTCTTTCATTTACTTTGACATGTTGCCCAAACAAAAGCATTGAATTGACTAAAAATTGGCCATTTTGATGATGTCACAAAGGGGAAGAGCCAGCGCGGCGCTGGAAATAAGGTGAGTTTTACACTTTCACAGGGGGGGGCTGGGGCGGAAAGCCACCTAAACGGTGGGTTTAGAACTATAGGGTCAGGAAAACATGTGTGTTCCTGACCCTATAGTGTTCCTTTAAGTAATCCTTGCCAGATGAGATATTGGAGTTTAAAAACAAATAAAAATAAATAGATGGACGGGAAGAATATTAAAACATCCTATGACTAAATGCATAGCATATATTAATGTTTCTTTCAGTCTATACCTGGCTAAGAAGCCATCAGACTGGTGCCTGGACACACCACTTAAAGGGATATTGAATTTGCATCATCTCAAACTGGTTATAGTGTCTGGAATTCCCTGGTGCTATAATTTTATTCAGCATTAAAAGGACCACTATAGGCACCCAGACCACTTCAGCTTAATGAAGTGGTCTGGGTGCCAGGTCCATCTAGGATTAACTCTTTCTGCTGTAAACATTGCAGTTTCAAAGAAACTGCTATGTTTACTTTAGGGTTAATCCAGCCTCTAGTGGCTGTCTCATTGACAGCCGCTAGAGGCGCTTCTCACTATGATTTTCACAGTGAGAAGACAAGCGTCTATAGGAAAGCATTGAGAATGCTTTCCTATGGACTGGATGAATGCGCGCGGCTCTTGCCGCGCATGCGCATTCAGCCGATGACATGAGAAGAGGGAGGAGAGTCCCAGCGCTGGAAAAAAGGTAAGGGATTAACCCCCTTCAGCGCAGCGGAAGTGGGACCATGAGGGTGGGGGCACTCTCAGGGCACTATAGTGGTCTATTGTTTGTTTTCCTGGCACTATAGTGGTCCTTTAAACCGGTTTAAAGTTTTAATACTAAAATGAGCGTTCCCAGCAGACCATCCCCTCTGTACTGCTTTGGCTAATGAGGCCTGAGCAGCAATAGTCAGCCAATGAGCCTGAGCAGCAATAGTCAGCCAAGATTGGTTGAGAGTGTCAGCTGACAGCTTTTAGTCTATCCAGAGCACCAACTGACGGTATGAAGGGTATGACTACAAGGAAGTGTATAATTTCTGTCTTAGCCACACATCCAGAAGGGGTCGGACTGTAGGTGGCCAGGGACCTTAGTGATACAATACTCTAAAATGGTTTAACACTGAATGGAGGAACAACAATTCAAAGATATTAAACGGTTTTAAGGACTACAGTGTACGTTTAAACAGCAGTTTAAAATTTAAAGGTGCAAGTGATCTCCAGGCACCATAATCCCTTAACTGACATGATATTTTGGTGTTCAGAGTGGTCTGTTAACCCCTTCAGGACGGAGTCAATAGTACATGTTCTGATCAAAACAAAATGTAAACAAAAACTGGAATTTGCGCTATATGTCTGTTCAACCGTAATTCACCTCTTTCATATTAAGTGCACCCACACTTATTATATATCATTTTGTTCAGGAGAAACAGAGCTTTAATTTCACATGAACTATTCATATATGAATCATAATTTTATATCTATAGAAAATAAAAAAACTGAGATTTTTTTTTTTTTTTTAAATTTGTAGTTCCACATCACATTTTAGCTGTAAATGTCATAATACTGTTTGCTTTTACTGCAAAAAAAGCACACATTTGGATTCAGCAAAGTCTCACGAGTACAACAGTAGCCCCCATTAACAGTTGTTACGGTGTTTTGAAAAGTTAAAGGGTCAAATATAGCACATTCAATTTTTCAGGTTTTTCACATTGAAATTTGCTAGATTAGTAATGTTACCTCATTCTAGCCCAGGAACGAGATTTACCCCCCATGATGGCATACCATTTGCAAAAGTAGACTACCCAAGGTATTGCAAGTGGGGTATGTCCAGTCTTTTGTAGTAGCCACTTAGTCACAAACACTGGCCAAAGTTAGCATTCATATTTGTTTTTGTGTGAAAAAAGCAAAAAACTAATATTTGGCCAGAGTTTGTGATTACGTCTATGTTTGCAAATGGTATGCCATCATGGGGGTAATTCTTATTTCTGGGCTACCATACGGTCTCAAAAGGCAACATAACCAATCTGGCAAATTTCAATGTGAAAAAAAATGAGATGCAAGCCTTATATTTGACTCTCTAACTTTCCAAAACACCATAAAAACTGTACATGGGGGGGTACTGTTATACTTGGGAGACTTCACTAAACACAAAAAGAAGTGTTTTAGAACCGTAAAACATATTAAAACAATATTGTCAGTAAAAGTGCCATTCATGTGTGAAAAATGCAAAAAAACTTTACTTTTACTAAAAATATAATTGTTACCAATAGTGTTACCATTTTGAAACACTGTTTGTGTATGTGTATATATATATATATATATATATATATATACACACACATACACACACACACACACACACACATACATATACATATACATATACACACACACACACACACACACACACAATTTTAAACATGTTTCTATAATTTTGTTTTACATTTCCCACAAGCAGGGGGGGACTGTCTCACATTTATTTCAGACAGTCCCCTTGCTGGCAGATGTAAATTTTACCTCCTGGAGGCTTAAGCCGTTACGGCTTTAAAGCCCATTTAAATGGGGACAGCATAGAATACCATTAAGGTATGATAACTTTAGGTTAATGGATATCACACAAGCAAACAGCACAGACATCCTACACTAGTGCTCGACAAATTCTTGCCTTGGTGTTGGTCAGCCTGTTCAGCGGCTGCAGAATCAGCCTCACAGCATCTGTGCATCAGCAAGCTGAGGGGGAAATGGAGGCAGGAGGTGAGTTAGCTCTAAAATTAGTGTAGGACCCACCAATAATGGGGTACTGTGTCATGGTAGGCTTACCACAATATGGTCATATGGTGTAACAATCCCCATATTTGTTTACCAAGATAGGCGATTTTAAATATCCTTGTAAAATGTAAGGCTATATTTTTGTTTTTGTGTGTGCATTGTTCCTTTGAACTGTATTTTGTCAGTGTGTGTATGTGTGTCTATAAATCTATTAACCGACAATGGCATGGGAAAGGTGTTTCTACTCATCTTTTTTCCACGTTGTGCCAGTCTCTCCGTGGCTGGCCCCACTGCAATGGCTGAGATACAAAAGCATTGGGAGGCTCTCTCGTAAATCAGCATATCTTCATAGAGATGAATTGAATCAACACATCTCTATGGGAAACATTCAGCACCTCCATGCAGAGTGTGACGATGCTGAACACAAGTGTTGCACACTGTGCAGCACTGGACTAAGAAGCACTTATAGTGGCTGTCTGAGTGACTGTCACTAGAGGCATTACTAGGCAGCAATGCACTGCATCTTCTCTAAAAAGCCAGTGTTTACATTGAAAGGTCTGCAGGGACACCAGAACAAATAAGCTGTGGGACTATATTATCCCTTTAAGAACTGTATTTTGGTTGTGGAAAATAAAGCTTTGTTAGTTAAAGGACCACTATAAGCACTCAGATCACTTCAGCTCAATGAAGTGGTCTGGGTGCCAGGTCCCACTAGTTTTAACCCTGCAGCTGAAAACATAGCAGTTTCAGAGAAACTGCTAGGTTTGCACTGAGGGTTAATCCAGCCTCTAGTGGCTGTCTCACTGACAGCCGCTAGAGGCACTTCCATGATTCTCACTGTGAGAAGACGCTGACGTCTATAGGAAAGCATTGAGTAATGCTTTCCTATGGGCGGTTTGAATGCGCGCGTGGTTCTTGCCGCGCATGCGGCACCGACAGGAGGAAGAGAGTTCCCCAGTCCAGCGGGTGGGGCGGACCTAATGACCCTATAGTGCCAGGAAAACAAGTTTGTTTTCCTGGCACTACAGTGGCCGATAGAGATAGAGATATATATCTCATATATCTCAACAACCTGACTCCTAAAACCCAAGCAAATGTGTCAAACCCTGTCCTACACCAACAAGTTTATTCATAGTGCAATGCCAGTGAGAGTAAATGGTGTGTTCATCATCAGCATGCTGTGAGTGTGCGCTTACAAATATTGCTAAAGTTGCACAAATTCTGCACAGCATGCCTGGAACTCTGGTTCTATGCAGACTGTTGCCAGCTGTCAAAAGGTGAAGTTAACCCCCAGCAAACAAGTTAAAATACTTCTGTACTATTAGCATTTTTAAGAAGAGGTACTTGTTCCATGAACACTTCAACAAGCAAAAGTGGTAATGATGCTTATAAGAAAGTGAGGGATAATTCAACAGAAAAATGTATCCCCATCATGCGGACGGACATGTGGCACTGCACCACGTTATAGATAACAGAAGGAATATTTAAAGGAACATTCCAGACAATACAAGCAAATATAACAGTTTATATCTTTTACAACTTTCTGCAACATACCCTCACCCACTTTTCACAAAATGTCTTACTGACAAAGTAAACAGCTCTGTCGAGGAAAAGTATGTTTGAGTGGATACTATACATAAAACTAAAAGGGCCGTGCTTGGCTTTGGAGGGGAGTCATTTAAGCAGCTCTGACGATCTCTCATTGGCTGAGCTGTGTATGTACATCACAGTTGAGGCCAATCAAAAAGCAGTTTTATGAAAAAAAATGAGGCATGGCTAAAGGGTCAGGGTTATGCTGCAGAAAGCTGCAACACTTACAGAAATTAGCATGTGCAGTAAAATACAGCGTGAATATAATCTCAATTTACCAAATAGAAGTGACATTTCCTCTTTAAATACACATCCGTTTGGGGCCGAAATATATTAAGCTCCCAAAACTAAACAAAAAAGTTTTCAAAACCCTCACGTAAATCACTCGCTGGTCTAACTCATACAAAAATACTCTACATTTGTAGAAAAAAAAAAAATAAATAAATAAAAAAAAAAATTATATTCACGGATAAATATTTCCATGGTAGAATCTGTATGTCATACCAAAATAAGCAGCACCTAAAATTACCAAGCTATATCAACATAGTACTCAAACTGACACTCGTCAACACTCTTAAATAAAGAGTAATTAGGTTTCGTTAGACAAGCCACAAAAAGAGGCAATGAATATGGATTTACTGTCAGGAGTCATTGTTTCATAATGATTTAGGTCAGTGCCTCAGTCTTTTTTTTTGACTGGGACTCAGATTGTCTACATGGTATTCGCTTAGTAACCGAATTTTTTTTTTTTTTTTAATTGCTCAATGATTATTACATACTGAAATTAATTCTGCGAAAAATAGCAACTTTGGAGATCAACTAAAAAAAATAATGGATTCCTAGATCTGTTTACAGACCCAAGAGGTAACCACAGAGGTACAATAAAATTCTCATGACAGTTAAAATTATGCACTGCTTTCCCTAGGATCACACATGAGGTCCGCCCATAAATGATTATATCAATTTTAACTTTCCTCCATATCTGCAGAAAGAGAAATACAGGTTAGTCTTCACTAAACACCTTTAATTTAATGTGACACTATAGTCACCAGAACAACTACAGCTTAATGTAGTTGTTCTGGTGAGTATAATAGCTCCCTTCAGGCATTTCATGTAAACACTGCCTTTTCAGAGAAAACGCAGGGCTCACATTGCCCCTAGTGACACATCCAAATGGCCACTCCTCAGATGGCCACTGGAGGGGCTTCCTGGCTCAAGGTTGCACAGTAAGCAGCCCTGGCATTCAGCGTCCCCAAGCTCTGCATGGAGAAGCTGAATTTTCCTCATAGAGATGCATTGATTCAACGCATCTCTATGAGGACGTCCTGATTAGCAAAAACGGCATTTGGCCCGCGCCGATTTTAGCCAATCCAATGCTTTCCCATGGCTAAAAATCGGCCATTTGATGATGTCACAAAGGGGCGGAGCCGGCGCCGGAAATAATGTGAGTTTTAAACTTTTAGGGGGGCAAGCCATAGAAAAGGTGGTTTAGGACTATAGGGTCAGGAATACATGTTTGTGTTCCTGACCCTATAGCAATCCTTTAAATCTAAATGATGTTCTAGTGTGCTTTTACACACCCGAAACGTTGCTTTGATTATTGTAATAAAAACAAGTGAGCAGAATTTTGAGAAAGAGTAACATTTGGGATATTAAAAAGGAACTGCCAGCAGAGAGATTATTTTATTTTACATACAACTAAAATTTAGGCTACAAGCCAGATATATAACATATGAGTGAATAAATATTGATAAAAAAGCATCCCATGATGACATACATGTTGGCCACTCATCATGGAAGGAATGCTATAATGTGCATAGATTTGTGTACATTATGAAAGAAGAGGACTTAAAAGCAGCAGCAGTACCAGTAAGTGCTGCCAAGACTGTGGTATTTGTCTCTGTTGTACTCTTCACTACTGTAAATGCTTTAAAGGGAAACAGTTTTCATAAATTAACCCTTTAGTGATCGCTGCCATACAGGATGTGGCACAGCCACTTTAGCACTAGAAGCTGCTGACATCGCTCTTGTGGCAGAAGACCCCCTTCTGTAACTGGGGTCTGATTGTGGTGGTACCAAGCTACAATCATCAGATGATACCAAACATTTAGAGTTTGTGGGTGGTGCGTGTGAACCGGTAGAAGCTGCAATTGCCAACCTCCATAAATATAACCATTGCATAGAAATCAAATTGACTTTTTTGCTGAAATTCGACCATAGCTTATGGTTCAGAGCAGCTATTTAACAAGGATTTTGGGACAGTTCTTTCGTAAAATAGAATTTGTGAGTATTCATAAATAAATATTTTAGTTCTATGAAATGCTCGTATTGATTGTTGGAATTTCATGGAAATTTCAACGCAGTCAAAAGTTTTAAAAAAAGGAACATGAAAAATATAAACTTGACAAATGGCAGAGCTTGTGCCAACATGTTTTTTTCAGTTCTCAAAGCAGTCAGGTATCTGTCTGTCTCTCTCTTAGACTTGATCTATGGAAGCTCCCGCACACTCAGGGGATCCTCCAAAAGGACATCTATGTTGTACTCTTACATGCATGAGTACAGTACTGACATGGGCTCCAAAGAGATGAGGAACAAAGTTGGCAGCAACCAAGATGGACAGATTCAGGTATCAAACTTCTCTGTTGCACTCCACCACACCAGATCTGGAGGTCAACATTGGGAGTTTTTGCCAAAAACAAACAAACACCCCAGCAGACCACAAGTTCACAGAGCTGCTTTAATATTTTTAAACTGTGTGCCCGTTCATATTCAGAAGCAAAGTTCAGCACTTCAAGCTGTGCCAAACTGAAATCACTAAATGTGTCCATAAACTCGCTTCCATTTTGGTTAAGTTTTACAGTAACCTAAAAGGCTACAATTCTCACAGAAATCCATCAATTTTTAAAATGATACCTTAATATAAACAACAGAACAAGCAAATCTTCAAACACCAAGCTAACACAATTGCATTTAATAAAAACAAAACCTACGAAGATGGGGTTGTCCAACTGGCAATATATTCTGAATTTAGCAAATAACCCCCTATGCATGAATACCTAAAAATACTTAATTTAGGTCACTATATATCTCCAACAAGAGAAGAGTCTGGCCAAAAAAACGTAAATAATACTGTCATTTGCAAGTAAAAACCAAGTCAACTTTAAAATGTTTCTGTATACATAATTATGTTTTAATTTACACTTCCAAATATATACCATTATTCCCCACTGATTAAAAATGTAAATGCTACAGATGCTGACTTTAACCAATACTACTAGAAAATCAGGTTAATATACGTTGCATGGCAAATATGTAAAAAGGGGTTACCTGAAAGATGCGTCTGAAATGAAGAGAAAAAAAAAAGCCTAATTTAAATTTTGGATGTGCATGAATACACCACACTTCAGTATCCAACACCAAATCCCTGAAATACCCACTAAATACAAATGCAGATTTAATGTCAATGTGATTCTGTTCTAAGGTGCATCACTTTACCATTTTATAAAATTGCTTTCATTACTGTATGTGAATCCTACCAAGAGTAAAAATAATAATCAAAATATCTGTGTACAAGAGGAATACATTAGATTTACAATATTTTATTTACATATGAGGATTGCTAGAAGTGAACAAAAATTATATATAAGCGGATGCATACCGAGTATAGACAATTGTGTTTCTAGAAAGAAAATAGGTGGTTTTGCAATGGTTGAAGGATATAAAGAACTGTCAAATATTAGCACACGCCACAGACTAATTCCACGTACACATTCAATGTGTATGTATAGGACAAAGTAGCACTGTTCTTGCATCAGCTACTGTCACCAATGGTTTCTATAATCTGGGAAAACAGATTGTTCAAAGCAAGGGAGACAACCCCTCCATTGCCCACCTCCAAACCAACAACAAATTATACTTCTCGGGGATAATATGCAGCTTGAATACGAGGAACCTTTTAAAATTTTGTAGTGTGCTGCAGATTTATAAAGGATTAAAGAAGGCAACTATACACCACATGCAGTACTCCTTTATCACAGGAATTCATCTATAAATATGCACTAACAGCATTTATCATACCATAAACATACAGCATTATAACCTATACAAGCTAAACTGCTTTGTATTTGCTTAAATTCGCTCTTAACACAGCATGCTTACATAGGCCTAGACAGCAGAAAGGATTTTTATTCTTCAACTAAGTCATTTTTCTAGTTTGTCTGTCTCTATGCCTGTCAAATCAGTAGACAGTAAAGTGGATAAACCCAATTACACCATTCAACCTCACAGTGACGGTTACTGGTCTATGTTTAATGCTGTAATGTGAGTCGGGGTAGAATGTGAACACATATCATGCCTTCCATAAGGAATGCAGCATACAAATTCCAAACACACACACACATATATTAGATTTGATTAGCCCAGTAGTCAAGATGACAAAATACCAGAGAGTGAGAGTGTGTGTGTGTGTGTTATATTTATACACACACACACACCTCCCCAATAAGTTCCACATAGCAGTAGCTATTTTAGCACCAAATACCTCAGCCAGACAATGCATTCCTATGGGGTCCCATCAGTTTGTGCGTCATAATAGATAGCAATGACTGTGTAACACAGACCCCTCTGACATATTAATCCAGGCTGAGCTCATGGCCCGTCATGGCAGAGTATGTTACAATTTGGCACTCCAGCTGTTAACTCCATTAGCCATGATAGAGAGTAGGGACCAATGGTCGGCTTAGCATCATGGAAAACGTAGTCCACATGAGCTGGAGACCCCAAGATCTGTCTGTAAACTAGATGTCCATCCTTGGCACCCCAGATGTTTCTTAACTACATTTCCCATGATGCTCAGCCAGAGGAGGATTATGGGAAATTAGCATCTGAGGTGCCGAGAGAGAGAGACACACACACACGCTGGGTATACTGCCGTCCAGCAGCCCTCTGCCGCTGCCTCACTGAGCTGGTACCTGAGGCGCAGACAGGAGCGCGGGGCAGGACGGGTAATAACGACTTTGGAACGTTGGTGAAGAGTCGCCGCGCGCACGTTCCCCTGACTGTCACTCGGCCGGCGGGCGCCCGACCGAACAGATGGAGGAGGAGGATGAGAGGGGGGGAGAAGCTGCAGCGCGGCCGCTCTTTACGTCTGAAGCCCGTACTTTGTGGGCGAAGACATAGAAGAGAACTAGAAAGAGGCCAGAGCCGGCTTTCTTCCTTCACAGGCGGTAATAATCCACGGCGCAGGGAATAGAAAAGCCTTATAAATCATCCAGATAGCAATGGAACCGGTAACCTGCCGCCCTTCGAGATGCTATGAGTGGAGGAGGAGGGGCGGCGGTTCGGGCGGCTGTCACCGCTCCGGCTGTATACCTGCTAATGTTGTTGGTGTTTCGACTTCCCCATAGTGCACCATTGGTAACTGCGGTTCGCGGCAGCACTGACACTGCGCTCCAACATGATGGCTCTGCTATTATCAGCAGCTGCAGGAGTGGAGCCCGAGCGCAGCCGCACACAGCCGCAGCCCCTCCCTTCCGTGACGTTATCCGAGGTGGGCGTGTCCTGGTTTCGCAGAATGTTGCTAGTCTGGGGAAATAGGGCGTGGCTAGTCATAGGCAAATCCCGAGAAACTGCGAGGCGTGGCTTCCGTTCTGCATTCCTGTGATTTTTTTTTTAATTTCAGTTTCAACATGCTTTATTAGTTAGTTGACACCCTAACTATATTGTCAGGGAAACATATTTTAAAGGGACCGTCTATATAGAAAATGCATTTATGAAATATGTCGAAAAAAAATAAGATGGGAATAAAAGAGCTCCGTTTTGAAGTCCCTATGTTTGCTGCAAAGTGTTAGGTTCTAGTGCTAATCTCAGCTCTCTGAAACCCTCCTCAGCTGAGGGTCAGGAGTGAAATATCTAGTTTAGTTCTCTGGAGTGGGTCCATTAATCAGAAAATATTAAAGACATCACAGTCCAAATTGTTAGAGATTATGAACCCCAAGGAACCTCTACATTGATATGCACAGGAGTAGACTAGTCCAGGACATTCCCAACCTCATGACACTAGCTATATACCATAAAAAAAGGGTCAGAGATCGGACTTAACCGGTAACTCCAACCACCATGACCACTGGTGGTCATGGGTGTTGGAGTAAAAGACCTTTACTGCACAAAACTGTCTTAAGACAGGCCATTTCCTGAAGAAAACTAACATTTCAGTTTTTTAACAAAACTATACATTTGTACAGGGAGAAAAACACCTCATCACTATGAGGCCAAAGCAATATGAGAATTACTTATGTTGGCGATTACAGTGCCCAATTACATTTCTTTTGTTTGGTGAAAAGACATTGATCAGTAGTGTCTAGACATGGTGATATGCTTCTCGGATGAAGATGACAGTAGCATTGTTTTGGATCATAAAAGGGTTTTGAAAAGATCTCTAAATATGCAATTTTATAATTTTTGGAACATAAATGGCAAATTACAGAGGCTGCTATACAGGGTTTGCAAAATGTCCACATTGTGATATACACACTATCTTCTACTTGTCTCTCTATCACACTGAAGCATGTGGCGTAAGTCGTAGTCTCACATAGTTCAATCTTAGTGAATATGCAGGAGTCCAGATGTTCAGTAAGAGGAAATTTGTATTTTTTTATTTTTAAAGATTTTGCACACTTACCTGTCTACACAAGACTTTCATTTCTCTTTTCCACAAAGTGTATACGGTGTATGGCAGGTTAGGAAAAAGGCAATTTAACCCCTAGGTTATAGTTTATCAGATCCTGGAGTTCAGGCAAAAGTATGCGTCAAGGTGCCAGGAAGTTCATCCTTGGAGGTGATAGTTTGCCTGCTTTTGTTATGTTAAAGATATCCCTGAATTTCTCGGGCAGTGTGGACAAAGTATTATGCATGATAGCAGATTTTTCAGACCTGCTTGCTGGCTTCACTATTCCTTGGTTCTGAGGATATGTTAAGAAAGAATTAGGCCTGAGAGCCTCAAGTATAAAAGCAGTAGTTAAAGGCAGCAATACCTGGGACAATACCTATCTGGGAGGAGGAAACACAGGCAGAGGGGATGATACCTGCCTTGGAGAAGAAGGCATAGGCTGCGGTGTCCATACCTATCTGGGAGGAGGAGACACCAGCAGAGGGGACGATACCTATCTGGGAGGAGGGGACACCGTCAGAGGGGACGATGCCTGCCTTGGAGAAGGAGGCAGAGGGCTTGATACCTGCCTTTGAGAAGAAGACATAGGCAGCGGAGTCCATACCTATCTGGGTGGAGGAGACACCGGCAGAGGGGATGATACTTATATGGGAGGAGGGGACACTGGCAGAGGGAACGATACCTGCCTTGGAGATGGAGGCACAGGCAGAGGGGATGGTACCTGCCTTGGAGAAGGAGGTATAGGCAGCCGAGTCGATACCTATCTCGTATGAGGAGGCACTGGCAGTGGAGTCAATACCTATCTGGGAGGAGGAGACACAGACAGAGGGGATGATACCTATCTGGGAGGAGGAGACACAGACTGGGGGGACAATACCTATCTGGGAGGAGGAGACACAGGCAGAGGGGATGATACCTGCCTTGGAGAAGGAGGCACAGGCAGAGTGGATGATACCTACCTTGGAGAAGAAGGCATAGGCTGCAGAGTCCATACCTATCCGGGAGGAGGAGACACCAGCCGAGGGGATGATACCTATCTGGGAGGAAAGGACACCAGCAGAGGGGACGATACCTGCCTTGGAGAAGGACGTATAGGCAGCGGAGTCAATACCTATCTGGGAGGAGGAGACACAGACAGAGGGGACGATACCTATCTGGGAGGAGGAGGAGACACAGACAGAGGGGATGATACCTATCTGGGAGGAGGAGACACAGGCAAAGGGGATGATACCTGCCTTGGAGAAATAGGCACAGGCAGTGGAGTCGATACCTATCTGAGAGGACGAGACACCGGTAGAGGGGACGATACCTGCCTTGGAAGAAGTGTCAGACCCACATCCTCTGTGGTGTTTCATCACATGCAGTTTAGGTCCTGGCTTGGTTTATATCCTGGGGTTGGTGATGGCATGGATGGTCACAAGATCACTTGTACACTACATCTATAAAATTGGGAGTAACATCTTACCTTTGTTCTGCTTATCTTGACTTGAAAAGGACACTGATAGAGGCACAACTTCAGGCTTTTTCTATGTGCTCCACTGCCAAAAGAGGGCGGTTAACCAGCCCTGCATACGCTCTCTTGTTTGTTTGTTTTTTTAGAAAATACAGTGCATTTAGTCGCATTCTCTGGATGTCTGCGGAGTGAAATGCTGGAAGCCTTTTCTTTGCTGTCTTCCCTCAAACATGTCCAGGTTTTCAAGGTTTATAGGAAGACTTACACAGAGCACAAACCCAAACATAAAGTACTGGAGGCTGATTCATTTCAGACAGTCAGTGATGTAATCCACTACCTTATGACTTGAAGTTTAAATATCCTCAGGGTAGTTTGGACAGTGATGTGAATTATCATAGACAGAGGAGGGCTGGGGGCAAATCCAGTCAAATGGCCCGTTGCACCATTGAATCAGCTCACCATCCACACCCACCTTTTCCTTGTTTTATAACAGATATTGATGTTATGAAGCAAGACAAATATGATACAATGTGGTTTAACATAGCTTTGCATGCTACTTTACCAACAAGATTGAACAGCTAAGGAAACAATTCTCCCCTCCTTGCCGTTCTCTTTCTCAACTACACATAAATCATGCCTTCCCTACCCTTCAGACTTTCTCCCCGGCTACTGAACAAGAGGTGGCTGCGCTTCTCCATTCCTCTCGCCCCACCACTTGCCCGCTCGATCCTGTCCCAGCCCACCTCATCAGATCTCTCTCCCCTTGTCTTGTGCCTACCTTAACACACATCTTTAACTGCTCGCTCTCTTCTGGCACTGTTCCTGCTGACCTTAAACATGCCACTGTAGTACCTTTCCTGAAAAAAAAATCTCTTGACCCATCCTTCCCCTCTAACTATCGTCCAATATCCCTGCTCCCTTTCTCATCAAAGCTTTTGGAAACACTTGTCTTTACCCGTGTGTCTCGCTTCCTCAATTCCAACTCTCTCCTTGACCCTCTTCAGTCTGGCTTCCGCCCTCTCCACTCTACTGAGACTGCTCTCATCAAAGTCACTAATGACCTAATCACAGCTAAATCCAAAGGTCACTACTCCATATTAATTCTCCTTGACCTCTCTGCTGCCTTTGACACCGTTGATCATGCTCTCCTCCTTCAAACTCTTCAATCGCTCGGTCTCTGTGACTCTGTCCTCTCTTGGTTTTCCTCCTATCTCTCCCAACGCTCATTCAGTGTCTCCTTTCCCAAGCATACCTCCTCCCCTCGTCCTGTCTTGGTTGGAGTTCCCCAAGGCTCTGCCCTTGGTCCCCTTCTATTTTCTCTTTATACTGCCTCTCTTGGCAAGCTTATTGCCTCTTTTGGATTCAACTACCACCTGTACGCTGATGACACTCAGATATACCTCTCCTCCCCGGACCTCTCCCCTGCCGTCCTGCAACGTGTCACTGCTTGCCTTTCTGTCCTCACGCTTTCTGAAACTCAGTCTCTCTAAAACTGAACTCCTTGTCTTTCCTCCTCCTAATACTGATCCTCCTCTCTTGCTCTCCCTTCAAGTCAGTGATATCCACATAAGTCCATCCTTGCAAGCACGCTGTATTGGCGTCATACTTGACTCCGGCCTCACCTTTGAGCCTCACATCCAGTTTGTTGCCAAATCCTGTAGGTTCCAACTCAAAAACATAGCCCGCACTTACTCAAGATGCAACCAAAGAGCTTGTCCATGCTCTAGTAATTTCCCGCATGGATTACTGTAACCCTCTTCTGATTGGTCTCCCCAAAAGCCGTATTGCCCTGCTACAGTCTGTAATGAATGCTGCAGCTAGACTGATTTTCCTCTCTAGTGGGTCCTCTCACACATCACCCCTCTGACAGTCCTTACATTGGCTCCCTGTATCCTATAGGAGTCAATTCAAAGTGCTAACCCATACATTTAAAGCACTGAACAATTCTAGCCCCTCTTATATCTCCTCAATGATCCATAGGTATGCCCCTCCTCGTTCCTTCCACTCTGCCCGTGACCACCTCCTGACCGCTGCTCGCACCCGTACGGCCAACTCGCGCTTGCAGGACCTCTCGCGGGTGGCTCCTTTCCTATGGAATAGCCTGCCTACCGCCATTAGACTCTCCCCTAGTCTTCAATCAAGAAGAGCCTTAAAAACCCATCTCTTCAGGAAAGCTTATGGCCTCCCAGAGTAACCTCTACCCTACATACCTGTGTCTTGCTCTCTCCTATAGGGCAGCACTCTACCCTCACCTCCAGCTCTGCTTCACTCCCACCCTATTTGATATTTCCTGTCCTAACGTGTCTTATAGCTGGGGCTCCTATAGACTGTAAGCTCGTTTGAGCAGGGTCCTCTTCAAACTATCGTTCCTGTAAGTTTTCTTGTAATTGTCCTATTTATAGTTAAATCCCCCCTCTCATAATATTGTAAAGCGCTACGGAATCTGTTGGCGCTATATAAATGGCAATAATAATAATAATAATAATAACAAAATTTAATTGTAATAGCAACAAATGATGTGTAACAAAAATAAAATCTACAGTTTTAACAAATTAACAATGTATGGACACAATACACTTAAAGAAAATGTGATACATTTAGGCAAATGGATAAACCTTCTCACTTAAGTTTTTTACAGAAATATCTGTATACATTTTTTAAACTAAATATTTGATGAAATGGTTAGCAAAGACCTCATCAACTGGACCAGTTCCAGAAGATCGCTATCCACTGACATGAGCATTAGGGCATCAAGCAGTTCTTGTCCCATTGTGGCTCGCAGTTGGGTCTTGATGAGTTTTAGCTTGCTGAGTGCTCTCTCGCATGACACTTGTGTAAAAGAAAGGGTCAACAGGTACTCATAGGTGATGGAAAGATTTTCATAAGCTGCAGAATAAAGGTTGTATTTTTTATTTATTTTTTATTTTTGCAGGGCAGATATATAACACAAGCAGACGAGAGGTGCCCCAAAAGCAGTCCTCAAGCTTTTCCCATGCTGAACATGCGGGGTACAAGATTAATAGGCACATTTTTATGTTTTATTCAGGCTTAAGCATTCGAGTTTAAGAGTAGATTGAAAATAGTCCAATCAATGCATTTACACATCTTTAGCTATGTGAGCAGGCTAGTGAATTAAGAGGTTATGCATAACGTTAGGTACATACACAGAAAATTGTCAGGAGCCTTCCCCACTGAGGGCAGCTTAGACCTTGAGAGAGTCCCTTTGGCAGTTCTTGCTTTGGCAGTTCATGCTTATCCAACCCCAGATCTGCAGAATCTGTGGCATGGAAGGAGTGAGTCCATCGTGTTTAGTGATAAGAGGGGTGAGTGCTCTCCCAGTGCAAGATTCCTTTTTTTTTTCTGCCCGATCCTCTGCTGGATGTAGCTGGAATGCGGGGATGTTATGTAGGTCGGCAGGATTAGCAGCGTTGCTTAGTGATGGACCGGGTGGCAGGTCCCGACTGCTCGTTGCCGCGGGAGCTGGGAATCCCCATCTGTGGGTCGGCAAGTTGGTGACTTTGCTGTAGTAAGGGGCCCCTTTGCTTTTCCACCATCTGGACAGCCTTGAGGAATCAGTTTTGCAGAGATCTGGTGGTCTCTGGTTGTGCCGCCATTTCAGGGTTGCCTGCTGCTTCCACCATTTTGATTGCGGGGAGCCCCCTCAGGCCCAGGCACTACAGGTCGCGGAGACAGTCTCCTGGGACCGGGATGACCCCCCCGGTCCAAAGGTGGGGATACGGGGCCCTTACCGCGTGGCGTCGGAGTTCCGAAGGGAAACCGCAGGGCAGGATAGCGAGGTGGCAAACTTCCACCTCACTCACCGCTCGAGTAGGCCTCACATGGAGCTGTGCTGATGTGCCTTCTCTGGGGTCAAAACGCTTGGAATCTGAATAGCCTCAGCTCCAGCACCTCTTTGCCCGCAGGACCGCTGCTGCTTAACTGCAGATTATTTGCTTTTTATGGTTATAATTTTCATTAGTCTGCAGGAGTTCATCTTGAATGCAACCTCTCAGCATGGCGGTCGCCCCGCCCCCCATGAAGGTTGTATTTTAACAACAACCTGTGACAACAAAAAAAACACTGCTTGCAAGAACCGCACTTTGATTCCTTTTTGTACCTCAACTAGTTTGTCATTAGGTGGAATCCAGTCATTAAAGGACCACTCTAGGCACCCAGACCACTTCAGCTTAATGAAGTGGTCTGGGTGCCAGGTCCTTCTAGGGTTAACCCATTTTTTCATAATTATAGCAGTTTCAGAGAAACTGCTATAATTATGAATGGGTTAAGCCTTCCCCCTAATCCTCTAGTGGCTGTCTCATTGACAGCCACTAGAGGCGCTTGCGTGCTTCTCACTGTGATTTTCACAGTGAGAGCACGCCAGCGTCCATAGGAAAGCATTGTAAATGCTTTCCTATGAGACCGGCTGAATGCGCGCGCAGCTCTTGCCGCGCGTGCGCATTCAGCCCGGGGCGACGGAGGCGGAGAGGAGGAGGAGAGCTCTCCGCCCAGCGCTGGAAAAAGGTAAGTTTTTACCCCTTTCCCCTTCCAGAGCCGGGCGGGAGGGGGTCCCTGAGGGTGGGGGCACCCTCAGGGCACTATAGTGCCAGGAAAACGAGTATGTTTTCCTGGCACTATAGTGGTCCTTTAATCTTTGTAGCGGAGAGCTAATATTTCATAGCCTATCTCCACTTTAGATCCCAGTGAGGCTCAGGAACAAGCAATTATAAATCCATAGGGCAAACTATCCAGCCGGCAAAATAATACAGCAGTATCCCAACAGCACTCCCAATAACTGGACGACACACAGTATCAGGAGCAGAACTAAAGATTTATTCACACAGTGGCCTTATAAAGCATGCTCCCATGCAAGGGAGGGATTTCCATTCATTAGTACAGTAGCCAATCCTGTTCTGGTAACCTCCCACACATCTCCTCCCCTCAGCCTGCATCATAATCCCCTTATCCAGGACACCAATTCCCCCTGTTTCTGGATGTACCCCTAAACCTAGGGGTACCGCTTTAAAGGATACATCCCCTGGTAGCCCTGATCTGGGTGAACAACATCTCCAAAAATCACCCAGATCAGACCGGGAAATTTATGGAGGGAATAAAATGACCGACTGCGCTGGAGAGACCAGCCGAATTGGGTTCCATGTGATGGGGCCCTGCGGTCGGTACTGGAACAAGGGAACAAATTGCACGAAAGCCTCCAGTTACAGATACTAGGGAGGGTTCGCCTGAATCCCCTCGTTCGGTGGTTTCTGTCTACCGAACGAGGGGCCGTTTGGTAGTTTGGAACCAAATGGACCGGGCTTGTGGAGGTCTCAGTAGTGTTCGCCTCGTCGAGTGTCCGATTTGAGTTCCAGACACTCGACGGCAAAACACCGCTGTTCAGGAGTCTTAAAATGGCCGCCGCCACGTGTTCGTTTCCCGAATGGCGGCAACCCCCGAGAACAAAGGACTACTGCCCAGCTTGTCAATTACCCGTTCACAACAATGTTGCAACGGGTAATTGAAGGCACACTTCACACCGGGGAGGTCTGACTGTTCGGTAGTTTCATTCCCTTATTTGTTAG